CTATTGTAGTTCCCCTTGTTCAAGCACAGGACCCTGGTATTGGATTTTATCTTCACACTCTCCATCTGTATTCTAAATTCAACCATACTGTGATCACTCCTTCCAAGCGGATCCCTAACTATGAGGTCATTAATTATTCCTGTCTCATTACACAGGACCAGATCTAGGATAGCTTGCTCCCTCGTTGGTTCCATTACATACTGTTCAAGAAAACTATCACCGATACACTCAACGAACTCCTCTTCAAGGCTACCCTGACCAAGCTGGTTCGACCAATCTACATGTAGATTAAAATCCCCCATGATAATTGCCGTACCATTTTTACAGGCATTAGTTATTTCTTTGTTTATTGCCCGCCCCAATGTGGCGTTATTATTTGGTGACCTATAGACTATGCCTATCAGTGACTTTTTCCTCTTAGAATTTCTAATTTCCACCCAAATGGATTCAACCTCATTCTCCATAGAACCTATATCATCTCTCAGCACTGCCCTGATGTCATCCTTGAATATCAGAGCTACACCACCTCCCTTACCTTCCTGTCTGTCCTTCCGAATAGTCTGGTACCCTTGGATATTTAACTCCCAGTCGTGACCATCCTGTAACCAGGTCTCCATAATGGCTACCAAATCATGTTCATTCGTGATGATTTGTGCCGTTAACTCATCAACCTTGTTACGAATGCTACGAGCATTCAGGTAAAGTGCCTTTATGATAACTTTCTTACCCTCATGATTTCCAACATCTCTAATAATATCTCCTGAGTTATCCTTCCTTTTTGCTTCTTTCATAGTCTGCCTTGAACTTAAGCCCTCCTGCACACATGCTAATCTGCTGCTTACCTTTTTATTTACCATCATACTCTCTGTCATTTTCCCTTTCCCTTCCCCCCAACTCACTAGTTTGAAGTCCTAGTGACCACCCTATTTATCCTTTTCGCTAGAACACTGGTTCCAGATCGGTTCAGGTGGAGACCCTCCCATCGGTACAGATGCCTCCGGTTCCAAAACTGATGCCAATGCCCCATGAAATGGAACCCCTCTTTGCCACACCACTCCCTTAGCCACATGTTTACTTCCCTAATTTTCTTATCCCTAAGCCAATTTGCACGTGGCTCGGGCAGTAATCCGGAGATTATGACCCTCGAGGACCTGTTCCTTAATTTCATTCCTCGTGCTAAATAGTCCCCAAACAGGTCCTCCATCCTAGCCTTGCCTATGTTGTTAGTCCCAACGTGGACCACAACAACTGGATCCTCCCCCTCCCGCTCCAATATCCTTTCAAGCCGGTCAGAGATGTCCTGCACCCTGGCACGGGGCAGGCAACACACCATGCGGGACTCCCGATCCGGCTTGCAAAGGATACTATCTATCCCCCTAACTATAGAATCCCCTATAACTACCACTTGTCTTTTTGCTCCCCCGTCTTGAATGGCCTTCTGCACCATGGTGCCGTGGTGAGCTGGCTTATCCTCCCTGCAGCCCTTTTCCTCATCCACACAGGGAGCAAGCATCTCGTACCTGTTGAATAAGGTCAAAAGCTGAGGCTCCTCCACTCCTGAACTCAAGATCCCCCTACCTGCCTCACTTGCAGTCACTAACTGAATTTGAATTACTTAATCTACCAGGTGTGACTGCCTCCTGAAACAAAGCGTCCAGGTAACTCTCCTCCTCCCAGATGTGCCGCAGTGCTTGAAGCTCAGATTCCAGATCTTCAACTCTGATCCGAAGTTCTTCCAGCAACCAACACTTGGGGCAGATGTGGTCACTGCTGTTCACAATGGGATCCGCCAGCTCCCACATCATACAGCTATTGCACATCACCTGCACAGCCATCTCTACTTAGTTAATTACTTTATATCAATTTATGAGTTAAATACTTTCTAATACCTCTCTGCTATGGTCTTTTCAAATAACCAATTAATAGATAAATAAAAAAAGAAAGTGAATCTTTAACCAATTACACGATACAGAAGAAATAGAAAAAGTATAAAACCTTACCTTACCAACACACCACAGAGTCCTTTTTTTTTTTTGGTTAGAGGAGGGCGACGGGTGGGAGACACTACACGTTTAGTGTCTTGGGTTCAGCCGCTGCCCAAATATATTCCTGGCAGCCCCCTGGTCCTCGCTGTCGCCTCTCCCTCTGCTGCTGAAAAATGAAGACCGCTGACGCTCGAGGTAAGCCCTTTAAGAGGGAAAACTTACCTTCCCGGCAGCCCCCTGGTCCTCGCTGTTGCCTCTCCCTCTGCTGCTGAAAAATGAAAGGTGGAGTAAACTTAAGGAGCTGAATGGCCGACTTCTCCTAATTACATCATGTCTTGCAAACTTGATTAAGTTGTTTTGAGGATACGATCAAAAAGATTGAGGGCACAGCAATAGATGTTGTCTACATGGATTTTAGTAAAGCCTTTGACAAGATTCCAAATGGTGGACTGATTAGTAAAGTTAGATCACATGGGATTCAGGGAATGCTTGCTAGTTGGGTACAAAATTGACTTAATGGTAGGACACAGGGTGGTGGGGGCAGGGTTTTTTTTGAACTGGAGGCCTGTGACTAGTGGTGCTTCACAGGGATCAGTGTTGGGGCCCATTGTTGTCATTTATATAAATTTGGATGAAAATTTAGGAGGCATGGTTAGTAGGTTTGTGGATGACACAAAAATTAGTGGTTTATTGGACAGTAATAGAAAGTTATCTAAGATTACAAAGAGATCTTGATCAGTTGGGTCAATGGGCTGATAAGTGGCAGATAGAGTCTAATTTGGATAAATGTGAGGTATTGCATTTTGGTAAAATAGACAAGGGCAGTTCCAAGGAAGGGTCACTTGACCCAAAACGTTAACTCCGATTTCTTCCCACAAATGTTGCCAGACCTGCTGAGCTTTTCCAGCAATTTCTATTTTTGTTTAATGGCAGGACTTGTGCAGTTAATAGTAGAGGCCTGGGTAGTGTTGTCGAACAGACAGACCTAGGGGTTCAGGTACATAGTTCTTTGGAAGTTGCTTTACCGGTAGACAAGGTGGTTAAGATGGTGTGTTCAGACCACTGAGTTCTAGGAGTTGAGATGTCATGTTAAGGTTGTACAGGATGTTGGTGAGGCCACTTTTGGAGTACTCAGTACAGTTCTGGTTGCAGGAAGGATATTACTAAATTGGAGAGAGTTCAGAAAAGATTTACCAGGATGTTGCTGGGACTAGAGGGTTTGAGTTATAAGGAGAGGCTGGATAGGCTGGGAGTTTTTTCACTGGAGAGCAGGAGGTTGCAGGGTGACCCTTATAGACTTTATAAAATTATAAGGGGCATAGATAAGGTGAATAGCAAAGGTCTTTTCCCTAGGGTGGGGGAGTTCAAATCTAGGGGGCATATTTTTAAGGTGAGAGAAGAAAGATTTAAAAGGGACCTAGGGGCAACCTCTTCACAGGGTAGTTCATATGTGGAATAAACTGTCAGAGGAAGTGGTAATTGCAGGTGCGGTTACTACATTTAAAAGACATTTGGATAGGTACGTGTATAGGAGAGATATGGGTCAAATGCAGGCAAGTGGAACTGGTTTATTTTGGGAAACTTAGTCAGCATGCACGAGTTGGACTGAATGGCCTGTTTCCATGCTGTATAGCTCTACAACTCCATAATTCATATCTTCCACCAACCCAATGAATCGATCCACCTTTGCCTTAAAATTATTGAATGATTCAGCTTCCATATCTGTTGAGGATGAGTTACAAAACTTTCCTTTTCAGACCACCTGCCCAGTACGGAAATTGGTCTTTTAAACCTCTGCATCCTTTCTTAAATATGGGAGGTTAATACTGCATAATAACACTCGTGATCTTACCAGAGGCCTGCATAACTGAAACATAACCTTTCTGCTTGTATAATCCATTCCCCTTGTAATAAAGCGTAGCATTCCATTTGCTTTACTAATCACTTGCTGTATCTGCATACTTTCCTTTTGAATTCCTGCATGAGGATACCCACATCTTCTGCATCTCGGAGATCTGCAATCTTTTATCAGTTAGATGGATGCTGTTTTTAAATTTTACTGCCAAAATCGACAATTACAAATTTTCCCATATTATACTTATTTTTCCCACTTAATCTATGTTTCCCTTTGTAGCCTGCTTATATCCTCTCCACAATTTACTTTCCTACCTACCTTTGTCATCAGCAAATTTAACAGCCATATCTTTGGTCCTTTCCAAGTAATGTAAATTCTAAAAAGTCATGGCTCCAGCAATGATTCCTGTGGCATAGCACGCTCAGTATATCTTGCAATCAGAAAATGACCCAATCGTGTGTTCGGTTTGCTAGCCAATTGTCTGTCCGTGCCAACATGTTGCTCCCTATGTCATGAGCATTTATTTTAGAGAACTAGAGTTGTAGAGCTGTACAGCATGGAAAACAGATCCTTTGGGCCAAATCGTCTGTGCTGATCAGATATCCTAAATTAATCTAGTTCCTTTTGCCAGCATTTGGCCCATATCCCTCTAAACCTTTCCTATTCATATACCCATCCAGATGCCTTTTAAATGTTGAAATAACCCTTGGCAAATTATCAAATGCTTTCTGGAAATCTAAATACAATACATCCACTGGTTTCCCTTTTCCATAGCATTTGTCCTGCTATAACATGTTTTAAGAGCTTCTGACACTTTTTTCTGTCACAGATGTTAAGCCAACTGCCCTGTACTTACCTGCTGTTTTTGAATAAAGAAATTACCTTTGCTGTTTTCCAATCTAATGGAACCTTTCCTCAATTTAGGAAAACTAGAACAAAAACAATTCATCGACTATCTCAAGCTATTTCTTTTAAAACCCTAAGACAAAGTCACCAGAATTTGGAGATTTATTTGCCTACAGCTTCAACAAGTTGCTCATTATCATATACCTGGTGACTGATTTTCTTGCGTTTCTCTTACAGGCATTTCTTGGATGTTACTTGGTGCAAAATAACTGTTCAGTTTATTTGTTTTCTCCTTTTCAGGATTAATGCTTCAGACTCATTCTCAAGAAGACCAAAGCTCACATTGCCAACTTTTTCACTTTTAAATATTGGTAGAAACTCTTGCTGCTTTTATATTCATTGATTTAGAATATTAAAAACAATCTATTGACCTGCTGCCCACTTTTGAATATAAGAACTAGGAGTAGGAGTAAGCAATTCAATTTCTTGAGTCTGTTGTGCCATTTGATCTCATCTTAGCATCAACTCCACTTTCCTGCTTGCTCTCCATAGCTCTTCAACCCATTAATTAAAATCCTGTCTGTCTCCTTAGACTTACTCAATGCCCTGGCATCCAGCACATAGAGGTGGTGAATTCCACAGATTTACAATTCTGGGAGAAGTAATTTTTCCGCCCCTCTAGCAGAGTCATAGTCATACAGCACAGAAACAGACCCTTAGGTGCAACCAGTCCATGCCACACACAATCCCAAATTAAACTAGTCCCACCTGCCTGCTCCTGGCTCATTTCCCTCCAAACTTTTTAAAACTGCTACCCCTTTATCCTCAAACTACGACCTCTTGTTCTTGATTGTTTCCTCATTATGTCTGCTTTATCAATCCCCTTTACCATCTTGTATACCTTAATTAGATCTCCTGTCATTCTCCTAAATGCCGAAGAGTATAGGCTTAAACTGCTCAACATCTTTGTTCATCTTTAGAATCAATCCAGTGATTCTCCTTTCAACTGCCTCCAATGCAGCTACATCCTTTCTCAAGGGACCAAATCTGTAGGCAGTACTCCAGATGTGGTCTTAATAATGCATTGTACAATTGCAGAAACACTTCCTTATTTTTATTCTCTAATCCTTTAGCAAAAATGCTAAAGTTCCATCTGCCTTCCTTATTTTCTGCTGAACCTGTATGCTAGCGTTCTGCGTTTCATGCATGAGGACTTTGTCTGAGAAATCCATCAGTGCCAAAGGATTCTGCAGTTAGTTTCTCTTCATTCAAATAATAAGTTGCCTTTTTATTCTTCCAATCAAAATGGATAACTTCACGCTTGGTCCATGTTAAACTTCATCTGCCAAATTTTGGCCATTCACCTAGCCTATCCCTATTCATGAGTAAATATCTTATTTCTTCATTGCAACTTAGTATCCCAACTATTTCGGTGTCATCTGCAAGTTTGGCTATAGTACTTTCTATCCTCCCATCAAAATCATTAATATAGATTGTAAATATTTGTGGCATAAGGACCAAACCCTGTGGCTCCCTACTAGTTGTATCTTGTCAACCAGAAAAAGACCCATTTATCCCAATGCTGTGCCTTCTGTTGGTTAGCCAATATGTTATCAAACTGATAAATTACCCCTAACTATGTAATCTTACCTTGAGTATTAACCTTTTGTGTGGCACTTTTATCAAATTCCTTCTGGAAGTTCAGTTATACGACAGCTACAGGATATCCATTCTACATTTGTGATTGTTACATCTTGGAAAATCTCAGTCAAACATGATGAAAACTTCATAGGACTCTAATTCAGTTGGATTTTATATTGACTTTCTAAATGTCCTTCATGAATTCTAATTTCCCAGTGACATGTTAAACTAATTGGCCTGTAATTTCCTACTTTCTGCCTGTCTTCCTCTTTTGAATGAATGTTAAACCATAAGGTATAGGAACAGAATTAGGCTGTTCAGCCCATCAAGTCTGCTCTACCATTTCAGCATGTCTGATGTGTTTCTCAACACCATCTCCTGCTTTCTCCCAAATCTTTGATTCCCTTGCTAACCAAGAAATATTTGCATTTAGCATTAGTAATATAACATGTTTCCATTCCACCAGAATCTTTCCTGAATCTAAGGAATTATAGAATATTATATGGATACACTATCCCCACTACCAATTCCTTTTGAGACCATAGAATGTAGGACATCAGGCCCTGGGGGCTTGTTTGCTTCAGTCCCAATAGTTTGCTTCATACTTTTTCCCTATTGTTGATGATTTGTAGTACTTTTTCCTAGTGGTGATTGATTGTAGTGTTTTTTCTCTTGGGCTTGATTGTAATACTTTTCCCTCAGGACAGTTATTGATTGTATGGTTTTATGCTTTCTCTTTAAGTTTGATACTATCCTTAATTTTTTACATTAACAGTGGATGTTGGGTGGTCCTCCAAATTTCCAATCTCATTGGAATGTAAGTATTCTGCACTATGGAATGCCCCACTGCATTTCTGTTAATCCATCCCTTAGCCTAAATTGCTAATTCACTTCATTTAGCTGTCCTTTTATGCCCTCATCAATGTGATTAATTGCATTTTTAAAAAACGGTCCTGGATCCATTCTTTTCTCCCTTAAATGAATGTAAAATGTAGTCATATTGTGATAGTGAAGTGCCCCTAGGTGGCAGCTGATGCTATTTTGTTGCACAATACCATGTCTAGTAAAGCCTGCTGTCTGGTTGGTTCCAGAATTTGCCGTCCTAAGAAACGATCCAGAAAATATTCTGAACTCCTCATTTAGGTTATCCTTACCTGTCTCATTATTCCGGCCTGTATGGATGAAAAGCCCTCATGATTGTCTACCTTTCTGAGTAACTCATTATTTCTTCCTTTTATGCAACAATGACAAATCAGGAAACAGAAAGGAAGAAAGAACTTAGGAACATCACAACCAGCAGAGAAATAGTACGTGCAAATTGCTGAAGCTGTGAGCTGACACGCACCTCGGTCCTAATGGACTTCATCTAGGTTCTTAAACTAAGTGACCAGTTTGTTAGTTGAAGCATTGGTTTTAATTTTTGCAAACTCCCTTGATTCAGTGATGGTCCTGTTAGATTGCAAGATAGCAAATGTCTCTCCTTTATTCATAAAGGGAAAGAGACAAAAAGCAGAAAACAACAGGCAAGTTAGTTCTACATCTGTGATAGTGAAATTGTTAGAAGCTATTACAGAGGAAGTTCCAGAAGAGCACTTGAATAAGCTGAAGATAATCAGACCAACGTGGTGTTGTGAAAGGGAAATCATGCTTGACTGATCAGTTGAAGGTTTTGAGGAGATAACACCTGGTGGTGTTAAAGGGGAAATAGTGGATGTACTGTATTTAACAAGCTGCCACATCAAAGGTCATTGTGGAAAATAAAAGCTTGTGGTGTAAAAGGTAACATTGGCATGAGTAGTAGGTCTGCTGGCTAACCTGAGAGTAGACATGAATGGGCATTTTTCAGGTTGGCAAGATGTAACAAATGGTGTGCTGTAGGGATCCGTGTTGGGAACGCAACTGTTTACAATTTATATGAATGACAATAAACTGAAAGTATGGCTGCCAAATTTTGCTGATGATGCCAAGTAACTTAAAAGGTTAGATTTTGTCAAGTAATTACGGTATGATCAAGGCACTTTGATCTTCTATTTTTACTCATCTATCTAAATAAGTTATCTTGAATCATACCCAGCTCTCAAAAGACAGTACGTGCTAAAGTAATTTTTGAGCATTTCTTAACATATTAACATTTCCAGACATAGGAAGTAATCACTTTGCTCTTCTTTGACAAAATTTTAAGATCTCTTTAGTTTGACCTTGCATCTATGTATTCTATTTATTTAATGCATTTTTTTAAAACAATGTGTAAATTCATCTCAAAAATGAACGTGCAGCCTGTTATGGGCCAGAGTAAACAAAATATATTAAGAAGATAGCCTAGACCTGAACTTTTTCTTATTTTTTAAAGGCAGATGTAAGGCGTTGTGTTCCGATACAATTCAATTGGTCAAACTATCAGGTTTGAAGCAAAACACACATTATTCTCACACTATAGTTAAAATACAAACAAAAGAAAGAAGAGTTAGAATAACTTAACTCTAATGGAAAACTTAAAAGAATATTAGATCATTTAATTACTAAACAACAACTGTTCCAGTATAGTAACATTCCATAAACGCACCCATGGTAAAGGCACGTTCAGAAAAATAGATTGTCTCTGCTGCAAGAATTGCATGGGAGACAAACTCCTGCTTTTGGCTGTACAGAGAAAGGAATAACAGCGCCTACGTCCAGCCTCAAGACTCCTGCAGATACTGAAAGCTAAAACTAAAACTCCTGGTTCTATGGGAGCTTGATCCCCACTCCTTCATAGAACATAGAACTGTACAGCACAGTACAGACCCTTCGGCCCATGCTGTTGTGCCGAACTTTTACCCTAAACCGAAGATCTATCTAACCTCCACCCCTACCTTATGCTATTATCCATCTGCCTATCTAATAGCCGCTTAAATGCCCCTAAAATTAATAAAATAGTAAATAAAATTTAATCTTTACTATTTCCCGGAACTTTACATTCTAAAGTGGACAGAACCATGTATTGCTTATTCGTTCATGGGATGTGGGTGTCACTGGCAAGCCAGCATTTACTGCCCAACCCTAGTTGTTCTGGAGAAGGTGGCAATGAGCTGCCGCCTTACATCCCTGTATTATTTGGAGTTCATGGGTGCCTACATTACTACTTGAAAGGAAGTTCCAGGATTTTTATCCAGTGCCAATGGAAAGATGGTGATGTAGTTCAAAGTCAGGATGGTGTGTGATTTGAACGGGAACTTTGTAGGTGGTACTGTTCCTGTGTGTCTGCTGCCCTTGTCCTTTGTAGGTGGTGGTAGAGGTCAAAGACTTAGAAGGTGCTGTCTTTGGTAAGTGCTATAGTGCATCTTGTAGATGGTAACACTCCTGCTGCGTTGATGTGTGTTAAGAGGGGAAACAGTTTTTGTTTCATTTTTAAGTACTGTAGAGTGTTGGGATGTCTGAAGTTTTGTTGATATGCATCTAAATTTGGTCTTTGAAATCCTTGTTTAGTGCAGTAGCAACAAGGGTAGAAGAGATATTTTCAAGAATTGAGCTGATGCCTACCAGCAAGATATCCTGTGACAGAGACACAAACAAATTCATCTATAAAAACACAGTGTAGGTTTCCTTCAGAGAGAAGCAGGTCATTCAGAGGGGAATAAAGGTTCTGTTACAATAGTAGTGCAGCTTAGCAGTTACCAAAACAGTCAGGGCAGAGGAGAATGAGTCCTTAGTGGCTTAAAGTCATTATGAAAGAGTTCCAAAAACAGAAGGCTGCAGAAGAGGACTTTAAGGAACCCATGTTAAGAAATGTAAGCTGTCTCACCGGTTTAAGGGCCTTGTGAAGAAACATTAACTAAAGAAACTCGGCAGAAAACTCTGGCAGCATCTGTGGAGAGAGAAACAGAGTTAACATTGAGTTCAATATAACTACATTTCAGAACAGTGGATGTCCCTACATTTCCAAGGTCTACTGTGGTTCAAGAAAGTGGCTTACCATTATTTTCCCCGGGACAATTTGAGATGGGCAATAAATGCTGACCTTGTCAGTGACACCCACATCCCATGAATGCATAAAGAAAATAAATACAAATTAAACTTTTGCATAACTTCTTCATATCAGACTCAAAACATTAACTCTGTTTCTGTCTTCAGATGCGAGTTTCTCTGGCATTTTCTAATTTGTTTATTGATTTCCAGCATCTGCATCTTTCATTTTAAATAGACCGTGAGTTTTATTCTTCCTGTCAAGCCAGGTTTCACTTTGGGGTCTTCCTTGTCCAATATGACCATCAGCTGGCGCCAGAACGCTGGCAAAACTCAGCGCAGCTTTGCGTGGAATTTAGGTGCAGTTTCTATGTACTTGGACAAAATCTATTCTACACTAAAGTCTCTGTCTGCTTAATAGTGGTGACGGAAGGGATATTTAAGGGTAAGATGAAGGACAGTAAACCAAAATGAGGATAAAGGACTTGAACAGGTGTTTCAAAAGGGATGAGTTAGGGAGACTGAAGGAGGAATATTGGTGGGAAAGTATATGGGAAATGTTACAACTTGGAAGGATATGAGAAGTGACAACAGAAGGAAGAAAATCCAGGGAAAGACGTCACAAATTTTCCAGCTGCATTCATCCTGCATAAAGCCTGTAGTGATCAGTGATTCTTTTCTCACCTTCTCTTACCCGAATAGTAAGACGACAAAGAGAAACAGACTTGAAAGCAGAAGAGACAGAATTAGAAGAGCAGCACAAACAGTAGAGACTGGTAAGGAAGAACATTTCCTCGCTGTATGAAATACCAAGAAAAATTAGCTTTTGATATCTTTTAGACACATTTTAAATATTAGGAAATGAGTACTTATCATGCTATATTTAATACACCCAGTAGATATGTTGCAGCAGCATCACTGGGTGGGGAAAATGTCTTTTTGTTTGACAAATTTATGTATGTAGCCTTCATTCCAAATGTGGACATAATTCTAAATTCTCAAAAAAGACTAACAAAATTACTGACAATAAAATAAACATCAGATTAAATAAGACTTTTAATACAATAATGTTGAAATTTGAAGATTTGTAGCAAATATGCTTTAAGGGGAAGATCAAAAGCAGTGCAAGAAACAACATAATTTCCTGAAATGGAATTCAACACTGTAGCCATTTGCCAAGGACCTGTATTTTGGAAACTTATTTCTGATGTTCCTAACACTTAAGGTTATATCAGATTAATTGGAATACTGAAAAATGTAAGGATTTGTAGGAAAGCTTATTCAAAACTTGTGAATATCTAAGCTTTTGCACCTTGATAGTTGATCTGGCAGCATAATGCTGGTCTTCTGTCAGCACAGTGAAAGGGCATGCACGCATTATTGGCCAAAGAATAAGATTCATAGCAATAGTTAAGTCTTAACTGTTGTCCCTCCTGCAAGATTTTGCCCATTGTTGTATTTGTCCTCTATCCATCTGTGCTGACCTGTATGGTGTAATCAACCTAATGCCTCAGTTTGAAAAGACAAAAGGGATTTAAGCAATCATATAAACCTTTCTAGTATGCCTATCAACACTATCCAAACGCTTCCATTATTCTGACGATAAGGCCACTTGTGAGTAATCACAAAGTCTATACTCTGGAAAATGCTTCCTAATTTGGTCCACTTCTTCATAAATTTCATAATGCCCATTACCAGGCATTTTAATCATTCTACAGATATGACCCTTTTCTTGCTGCAAATGCAAAGACTTGATTGCTTGGGATTGTTATTTTTTTAAAAATGTTACATGGATGCAAGTTATTATCCTCAATCATAGAAGAAAGGAATAGCAAATTACAGTTTCCATTTCCAATTATTATCTAATGACTCAATGAGACTTCACACATGAAAAATCACTAATTACATGAGGTACTGAAGAAATGCAGTTAAGCCATACTCCAACATCAGTCACCAACTCGGCAGAGGTGGGGAAGGAAAACAATTATATTGGTATGTATTATTCATGGTTCTTGGAAACCTTCAAACACTGATTTTATTCTTGTTATTGCAGGGGACTTAATGGCTCACATTGAAGGCAAATCGAACCAGAAACAAATGTGTGCAAATATGCAGATGAACCAATGTTCTTCCCTTGTTCATTTTTATGGAAAGAGAAGTATATAACTGATACTCTGTAACTATTGGCTGTATTTATAGATTACCTTAATTCTTTCACTTGATCTATTGTATTTATTCTTCAAAGATGTCACCTGATTGTGAGGTGTAGTTTAATGGACACTCGAATGAGTCTTACCAATGCATGCTGAACAAACACTACCAAACAATGTTGATGTCCGTGTATTTCCATCCATAAATTCAATTCAGAAAGGAATCCTGTTTTGCTTCCTCTGTTTCCAGAGCTTGGAGGAATTCCTGTCGTTGATAGCACTGCTGTTTCAGCTGAAGTTGGTTCACTTTCTTTATCACCCATTCATCCAGGAAAAATTATTTCTATTAAAAATATTTTGGCATACATTTACAGGGCTTTCTTCCCTAATGTCATAATCCTGATTGATCCAGGACAAGAATGTGAGTAGAATTCTCAAAACATGTATTACAATACAACATATTTGGCTATGAATAAATCTATCAGGACGACATTGTAGTTATGAGGGATTAAATGGTAGCCAAATTGTGAGCACAGTTTACAATCATAACAAGGAAAATTTTGGGGTGTATAAAAAGCAACTGGTTCTCTGCTGCCAGTGTTGTACTCCTTGCAGAAGTTGAAGTTCCACTTCAATATCTTGTTTTAAATTTCGTTCAAATGTACTGTAAGCGTGTGTTGTTATTTCTTTCTTTAACTGGACCAGTTGTACTTTTTTCAAAACAGTCACTGCAGACGTGAAGCCAAGTTCCAAATTGAAGAAACTATCACTTATTCATGAGGAAACAGATTCAGAAATGTATTCAACTAACAAAGTGGCTTCTGGTGTCCATAGGTTAGTGTTGTGCCACAGTAGATGTGATGATATATGAGTTATTCTTATAAATTAATGCACAAAGTTTAAAAATATGCAAATTACATTGTAATGAAGAAGCATTTGGGGGCCGATGGTGGGAGTGATGATATCACTGGGTTAGTGATCCAGAGTTGCAGCATAATGCTCTGGAGACTAGGGTTCAAATGTCATCATTGCAGCTGGTGGAATTTAAATTCAGTGAATAAGTTCAATTTTTTTTAAAATGTGGAATTGAAGGCTAATCTCAGTAATGACACTATTAAACAACCATTAGCTGTTATATTGAAACAGATGGGTTTATAATGTCATGTTTGAGGGTTCTTCTAGTACTAGGGTACTGTCTCTGTCTCTGAGCCAGGAGACCTGGGTCCACATTTCATGTGCTCCAAAAGTATGTAATATCTCTGAAGAAGCTGATTAGAAAATATTTCCAATGACCTATTTGGAAAAAAAATTGCCATCCTTACTTGGTCTTAATGACATGTAACTCCAGACCCACAGTAGTGATTAACTCTTAAGTGTTGTCTAAAATGACCTTGTAAGCCACTTGATTGTGTCGAACTGCTAGAGAATGGACTGCTGTGGTTCATGAAGGCTGTTGACCATCACCACCACTTTAAAAGCAATTAGGAAATGGCAAGAACCACTGGCCTTGTCAATATCATCTGCATCCCTTGAGATAAACTTTTTAAAAAAAAAACAGATCAATCAATTAATAGGCCACTCAGAATTGGTGGGCAACCAGTGGACCTGGGAAATCCTTTTTGGATGGACTTGGGGAAGGGGCAGCCAGTGAGCAATTCCAGTGGGGAAAGGAAGTGCTGCTTGGGTAGAGTGAGAAAGTGCGATAAATTGGACAGCTTTCACTAATGTTTCAAATGGTTTGCAAACACCAAGGAATAAAACATCTCAGAATTTAGTCTGCAGGAGAATTACCTTCAGGTGGATGAATCTGTTGACAAAGGTGCTTTACACAACATTTCTGGCCCTTTATGTATGGATGGGCAGAATCGTATGGATCTCTGACCTCCCAATTTTGTTGGCTTTAGGAAAGAATCCAGAGTTCACGCACTGAAGAATTAGATCTCTAAATTTTTTTGGCTTTTTATGTCATTTCATTCTTATGTCTTTGACTTTTCAAAAATGAAGTATTCTTACTAAAACAGAGCATTTTATTTCTGAATTTATTAAAATGAAGTGTCATATTTTAAAGTTATTCAATGTGTTATGAAGAAAAATACTTTGTAAAGAAAAAAAGTTTCAAGGCTGTGCACTGGTTATCAGAACAGATCCAAATTAACCAAGATCTTTAAAGGAGAAGAGAGGGATTTGAGTGTTTTAGGATGTGAATGCTAGAAGAAAAATGTCTGAAGGCACAGTTGTCAGGTGAGGTGAAGGGGGGGAAGTATTTGACACTTTTTTTTTTAATGCTTAAAGTAATAGCATCCTTATTCTTAAGGAGTATGCATCGGTCCCAAATGAAAAGAACTATCCGAAGAAACATTTTGAAGACCAAAAAAGAAACACTGCCCTTTGAGAACAGGAGTCCTAGTCTTCAGCAATGGAAGGTGTGTTTACTGTTGGAAGTCATAAAATTGCTAGTTATTTCTTATTGCACTGGTGACTTTAAATTCAAGTTTGTTCAGTAGTTTTCCTGAGTTTGTAAACTAATTTTATATAGTGATCTCATATTTAAATATAGAGCCCTAGCTTACCAAGGAAATGGTTGGAATGCAACTTAAATGTAACTGTGAAGTGTTTATTTTGGGTAAAGCATCTGCTTTAAATTGATATGCCAAACAACCAACTTCTACTGTGCCTCCTTTTGCGTTGCCTCTTCCTGTATCCAGAACAAGATGAAATCATAATTTTAAAAATACTTCAAAACATGCAATTTTTTCTTTCACCACATTCTCCTTTTTACTTTTGGGTAATAATTCCTACAATTTTCATCCATTATTAATTCACACCTGCCCCTCAATTCTAGGCAGTATGTATTTATATAGTTAAAATAAATTGATTTTTTCTGAGACTTAAAAATGGCCTAACACAAGGGTGGGAAAACCATGGGTGGTGGCCACATCCATGCTTTTGATTAGGCCTGTGGCCACTCGGGCCATCCAGGTGTCCAATGAACACAAGAAGCAATTTAAGGTAAGTTAGCCAGCTATTAGGTATATGTAAGCGTAATAAGATTATAATGGGGATTTTAATTTTCCAAACATTGACTGGGGCTACCATAGTGTTAAAGATTTGAATGGTGAAGAATTTATCCGATGTGTTTAAAAAAAATTTTCTTTTGCCAATATGTGAATGCTTCTACTAGAGAGTGCAAAACTAGACCTTCTTTTAGGCAATAAGGCAGGGCAGGTGAATGAAGTAAAAGTGGGGGAACACTTTAGGTCTAGCGATCATAATTCTATTAGTTTCAGAATAGTTATGGAAAAGGATAAGCATCACAAAAATTAAAGTTTTCAATTGGCGTATGGCAAATTTTAATTTTATAAGACAAGAACTTTCAAATGTTGATTGGAATAGACTGTTTGCAGGTAAAAGGACGTCTGACAAGTGGGAGGCGTCCATGTGTGTGATGACGAGAGTTCGGAGGCATTTTGTTCCTGTTAGAGTAAAGGGTAAGGCTGGTAAGATTAAGAAGCAATGGATGAATAAAGATATTGAGGTTCTAGTCAAGAATAAAAGGGAATCTTATTTTAGGTATAGACAACTTGGTTCAATTGAGATAACAAGGTGTAGAGCTGGATGAACACAGCAGGCCAAGCAGCATCAGAGGAGTAGGAAAGCTGACATTTTTTGGGTCTGGATTCTTCTTCAGGAATGGGGGAGGAGAAGGGGATTCTGAAATACATAGAGAGAGAGGGGGAGGCGGATGGAAAATGGATAAAGGAGCAGATAGGTGGAGAGGAGACGGACAGGTCAAAGAGGCGGGGATGGAGCCAGTAAAGGAGAGTGTAGGTGGGGAGTTAGGGTGGGGGTTGGTCAGTCCAGGGAAGACGGATAGGTCAAGGAGGCAGGGATGAGGCTGGTAGGTAGGAGGTGGGGGTGGGTTCAATTGAATCTCTTAATCAATATAAGAGTGTAGGGGCAAAGAGGGGATATGAGATAGCATTGGCAGATAAGCTTAAGGATAATCCAAAGAGATTCAACAAATACATTAAGAGCAAGAGGGTAACCAGAGAGAGAGTAGAACCACTTAAAGATCAGGGAGGTTGACTTTGTGTTGAACCCCAGGAGATGGGAGAGGTATTAAATGAATATTTCCCATCAGCTTTTACTATGGAGAAGGAAATGGAATCTAGAGAATGCAGAGAAATAAACGTTGATGTTTTAACAACAGTTCACATTACAGAAGAGGAAGTTCAGGAGGTCTCAGAATGTAAAGGCAGATAAGTCTCCAGTACCTGATGTAATGTATCGCAGAATGTTGTGGGAAGTAAGGAAGGAAATTGAGACCCCTTTCAGAAATATTTGCATCATCTGTAAATACGGATGAGGTGCCTGATGACTGGAGGGTGGCTAATGTTGTACCTTTATTAAGAAAAGTTGTAAGGAGAAACAGGGAAACTATAGACTTGTGAGTCTGACTTTGGTTGTGGGTAAATTGTTGGAAGTGATTATAAAAGATTGAATTAATGGACATTTAGAGAGGCAAAAATTGGTTATGGATAGTCAGCATGGTTTTGAGTGAGGAAAATTATGTCTCTCAAACTCTTATTTTTGAGGAAGTTACCAAAAAGACTGGCAGAGCAGTAGATGTTGTGTATTTGGATTTTAGTAAAGCCCTTGACAAGGTTCTACAAGGTAGACTAATTAGTGAAGTTAGGTCAATTGGCGTAATGGTGGAGGCTTGCTTTTTGGACTGGAGGCCTGTGACCAGTAGTGTTCCACAGAGATTGGTTCTGGGTTCACTTTTGTATGTCATTTATATAAATGATTTGGATGAGAATATAGAACACATAGTTAGTACATTATAAGATAACACAGTGTGGAGCTGGAGGAACACAGCAGGCCAGGCAGCAGCATCAGAGGAGCAGGAAAGCTGATGTTTCGGGTCAGGACCCTTCTTCTGAAAAAGGGTCCCGACCCGAAACGTCAGCTGGCCTGCTGTGTTCCTCCAGCTCCACACTGTGTTATCTCAGACTCCAGCATCGGCAGTTCTAACTATCTCTGAATGGTTAGTACATTTGTGGATGACACCAAAATTGGTGGCATAGTAGACAGTGAAGAAGGTTGTCTAAGATTACAGTGGGATCTTGATCAAATAGGTCAATGGGCTGAGAAATGGCAGATGGAGTTCAATCGGGATAAATGTGAAGTATTGCATTTTGATACAACAAATGAGTAGGGCTTATCCAATTAATGGTAGGGCCTTGGATAGTGTGGTAGAACAGAGGGACCTAGGGGTTCAGGTACATTATTCTTTGAAGGTTGCTTCACATATTGACAGTGTGGTTAAAAAGATGTTTGGCATGCTTGTCTTCATTGCTCAGACCTTTGAGTATAGGAATTGGGAAATCGTGTTGAGATTGTACAGGACATTGATGGGGCGTCTTCTGGAATACTGTGTCCAGTTCTGGTTGCCCAAGCTAGAAAGGTTTCAGAAGAGATTTACCCGGATGTTGCCGGATATGGAAGGTTTGAGTTATAAAGATAGGCTGGGACCTTTTTCACTGGTCCATAGGAGGTTGAAATGCGACCTGATAGTTTATAAAATAATGAGGGATATAATCATGTTAATGGAAGTTGTCTTTTCCCTAGGATGGGGGATTTCAAGACTAGAGGGCACACTAAAGTGAGAAGAGAGATTTTAAAAAAATTTGCCTCATGATTTTTTTTTAAAGAGGGTTGTTCGTGTGTGGAATGAACCTCCTGATGAAGCGATATGATATGGGTACAAACACATTGTTTAAAAGACATTTAGGCAAGTACATGAATAGGAAAGGTTTGGAGGGATATGAGCCAGGAGCAGGCAGGTGGGACTAGTTTAGTTTGGAATTGTGTTAAACATGGACTGGTTGGACCGAAGGGTCTGTTTCCGTGCCGTACGACTCTATTGGTGGCTGAATGTGGATATTTCTTGAGGAATGTAGCTGCCACATAAGAGGAGAGCAGCATCGTGTAAGTAAATTAGCAGATTCAGAAATCAGAAAAATGGTGAGGGCCAATTGGGATATTGGACAACAGGCTGTAATTTAACATCTGACATTTCAGTCGTGTATCTGGATCCCAAGCTCCTTTTACACAGTCATTGCTTATAGATGTTCATAATTGAGAAAATGCAATCTGTTTTACTTTGGCTGTAGAGTGATGGCTTTCTATTCCCCTGTGCTGAAATCCATTTGCCACAATTTGCCCAGGTGCGTAATTAAGCAATACACTATTGTTCTATCATCTATACTGCTTATAATACCATGTTGGTACCATTAGTGAATTTGGATATGTAGCTTTCTTTGCCCTTGTCTAAATTAATAAATATATGAATAATTGAGGTCTCAATACTGAACCTTATGAAAAGCCACTCACCACTTTCTACTCACTGAAGTGTGCTTAAGATTTCTGTTTACTCAGTTGCAAGTGTAACAACAGTTGACAATTTGAATTGCTGTCCATTATCCCTACTTTTTTTTTTTTCTCCTTCCATTCAGCCAGTTTCTTGACCAGATCAATAATTTACCTTCTATTCCATGAGCTTCACACTTAACTAAACAGGCTGATATAGAATCATAGAATCCCTACAGTGTGGAAACAGGCCCTTCGGCCCAACAAGTCCACACCGACCCTCAAAGCATCCCACCCAGACCCATCCCCCTATAACCCACCTAACCTACACATTCCTGAACACGATGGGCAATTTAGCATGGCCAATCCACCTAACCTGCACATCTTTGGACTGTGGGAGGAAACCGGAGCACCCGAAGGTAACCCCCACAGACATGGGGAGGACGTGCAAACACCACATAGACAGTCGTCCGAGGGTGGAATTGAACCTGGGTTCCTGGCGCTGTGAGGCAGCAGTACAAACCACTGAGTCACCGTGCTGTATGTGAGACTTTATCAAATGTCTTCTGGAAAGCTTTATAAAATAACATCCTTGAAATTGTGCTGTCCACTTATCTGAGCCACCTTTTTCAAAAAAAATTCAGATTTGTCAGTACAACCTGCCCTTTATGAAAAAAGCCACTAAAATATTAGCTGATGCTTCTTTGTATGTGACTGACAATTTAGTGTTAATCAATTGACTAATTAGTGAACAGTCAGTAGGATTGCTTAGCCTCGTATAACTGCTGTTGCACTCGCAGCTGAGTTATGAGAAATTTTAAGCACCCAACACGAATGAGTAGAATAGTAAGCAAAGGGAAAAAGCAAGATTTATCAGAAGATTTATTGAATTAGTTGCAGGTTTACCACTTTCAGAACAATATTGGTGATGTATTTTGGCAGATCTAATTAGTGAAGGATATACACAATGAATGATGGGGCTCTAGGGAGTATTGAGGAGCAAAGGGATCTCTGTGTACAAGTCCATAAGTCCTTGAAGGTGTCAGTGGGTGATGAAGAGGGTATACTGTGTGCTTTCATTCATTAGCTAGGGCACAGAATATAACAGCAAGGAAGCCTTGTTACAACTTTGGTTTGGCCACAGATTGAATACCATGTGCAGTCTGGTCACCACATGATCGGAATGATGTGATTGCATTGTTGAGGGTACAGAGGAGATTTACCATGATGTTGCCTGGAATGAAACATCTCAGTTATGTAGAGAGACTTGATAGACTGGGTATGTTTTCCTTAGAGCAGAGGACGCTGAGGGGGTGGTCTGAATGAAGTGTATAAAATTGAGTGGCATATATATGGTAGATCATGAGAATTTTTTCCTCATGGCAAATGTATTTAAGACCAGACGTCTTAAGGTGAGGAGTGAATGGTTTAGAGGAGATCGGAGAGAGATTGGGTGAAGTAAAAGAGGGTGGTAGATTTTTCAGAAATGTTGCCTGAGAAGGCGGTCGGGATAGGTACACTAGCAACATATAAAAAGCATTTGGATGAGCACTTAAAATGTCAGAGCATAGTAGGCTATAGACCAAGTTCAGGTAAATGGGATTAATGTAGTTCGGAGTTTGCTTGGCATTGACTCGAAGTTGGCTTGACTAAGCATTGACATGGTGGGCCAAAAAACCTGTTTTTATGCATTATGACTCTCTTACAATATTGTAATAAAACGGTGATCAGTAGGTCCAGTATCTGTGGTTGCGCTATCTTGGGCTGCCTCTCATACGGTGCCCCCCCCTCTCCCCGCTCTTCCCTGTCTTGTGCCTGCTACCCTCTACTACCTTCTGACCCCAGTAGAGACTGGTGGAGAACAAAAGCTACAATGACTTCAGAAAACAATTTGATGCTGCAGCATCAATGTCAGTCAATGGTCTAAAAGCTGCATTGTTTCCAACTGTAAGGATTGCAAAATTTTGTCACCTGAAAGATACCCCAGTTATTTCAAAAGCTCATTGACCTGTAAACTCAAACTCAATTTATGTTTCTATTTCACGTTTCCAGCATTTACCTTATTTTGCTACTTTTTTTAATGTAGTCATACAGCACAGAAACAGACCCTTTGGTCCAACCAGTCCATGTTGAACGTAATCCCAAACTAAACTAGTTCCACCTGCTAGTCCATGTCACTCCAAACCTTGCCTATTCATGCACTTATCCAAATGTCTTTTAAACGTAATTGTGCCCACATCCACCACTTCCTCAGGAAGTTCATTTCACACACGAACTACACTCTTGTAAAAAAAAAACTTGCCCCTCGTCTTCTTTAAATCTTCCTTCTCTCACCTTAAAAATGTATCCCCTATTCTTGAAATGCCCCACCCTAGGCAAAAGACAGCTACTATTAACCCTTTGTTTTTTCGGTTGCTTAACAAAATGCCGAAAAATTTTTTAAAAGGATACTTTCATTTCTTGTGTTTTGGAATCCATATTGCTATTTTTCAAAATATGCTTTTAATAACTTATTGCCTTGTTACATCATGACTGACTGGAGAGCAAACTGTTAATCTCATAACATTCTATCCTACTCAGTGCAAACATTTGTACACTTCAATTTATAGATTTTATCTGGACAAAATCTTTTACTTGGGTTGAAATTTGAAAAAGAGGCTCTAGATATTTGAAGTTTCTAAATTGCAAATTTGTTTCAGGAATTTACGCAGAATAATTCCAAAAATGCAAACTGTTCTGTGTACATTGAAGCTACTTCAGGTAAGAAAGTGCTTTTGAAATTTCTTAAATCTTTTAGCGACAATCAAGGAAGGTGTAATTTTTTTCTAAGCATAGAACATGTCCTTTAAAGGTTCCTTTGCATTTCCAGGAAGTTGATATGCTTTTGGCATTTTACATTTACCAATCCAAATTGTTCAAATAAACACAATGCTGGAGAAACTCAGCAGGTCTGGCAGCATCTGTAGAGAGAGAAAAATGGTTGACTTCTTCAACACCCAAACATTGTTATTAGTTAACATTCACTAACTGAGTTCGAAATGTTGCCGAACACTTCCAAAATTGTTGCTGTTTACAAACAGTATGTTCAGGAGTATGAAAAGCTAGCTTGGCATATATAAAGTGGCCGATTGCTCTTTATACTCTAGGTATTTCTCATATTTTTGTTTTAAAGCATTTAGCAACCCGCAGTCTTCCCCTATCAATAACGATTAAATTATAATAATATACTTGTGATTGGAAAGATCATGTTCATAGCTTCAAACAGATTTATATCTTTAGTAGCTAGAAAATTTATACAGAGAGCTGTCAGGAGATTTGTTCTGCATTTTGTCACTGGTTGATTTTAGGCAAACTATGTAGTGCAACCTTTAATGCAGATTTCAATTTTAGTGATTGTTTGTTTATTTGATTGTACTGGTTTAGATGATGTTTTGATGAAACTGTCTTCCATAGATTGAATTGCTCACATTTGTGAGTTTCTGCTAAATTGTATCTATTTGTCGAGACTTCGAGAAACGTTTTGAAGCTGATTCTTTTGGATACATGGATGCTCATATCCACGTTTCGCTGTAATTTGAATCTTTCCTTTTTGCGAATAAACTGGCTACAGTAGACTATAAAACTAATAAATGGCTAAGATTTTTAAATCACTGAGATAGCAAGAACTGCAGATGCTGGAGTCAGAGATAGCAAAGTGTGGACCTGGGGGAACACAGCAGGCCAGTTTAAAGTAGGGTTGCTCAAGTCATGAACTAGATGCCATTTACAGATGCTTCTTATTTGATCATATTTTTAGCTGTATTAATAGTCTGTATCCAGTTGTGGCTCTACATTCAAACTTCTTTTGAAATAATCCTTTTCCTTTGTCAAGTCACTTCACCTATGTAGAGGTCTGTAAAAAAGGAAGCTATAGAAATAGTGCATGTAATAATTATCGTTTTCAAAAATTATTTGGACACCAGAGCATTCCTTATGGTCACAAAAGAAACACAATCTTTAATAAAGAAAGGAATCAAAATGGAGATCTTGTGGGCCGCCTCTTGTCAATTGTCAGCAAAATTGTGCAATTTTGTTTTTAAGAAAATCATAATGTAATCAGAGAAAGTCCACATTGTTTTATGAATTCATTGGAAAGTATGAAGTTTTGTCATTAGCAAGTTTGGAAATAGCACATCTGGTCTCCACATCTAAATTGTTTACGTAAATTGTGAATAGCTGATCCTTATGGTACTCCACAAGTAACAGCCTACCGTTCTGACAATAGCCTGTTTATTCCTACTGTATTTTTTGTCTTTTAACTAATTTAGATCCATTCTGGTGTATTACCCCCAATCTCGTGTTCTATTTTTGTTTACTATCCTTCTTTTGTGAGACATCATCTACACATCTTCTAGTTCTCTTTATTAATGCTACATATAATATCATCAGAAAACTCCATCCGATCTGTTAACATGGATTTACAAAATGACTGCCTAATGTTACTGTTACTTTCAAAGTATCCAGTTATCCTTTCGAATAGATTGTAATATTTTCCCACTATCAATAATAGGTCTGCAGTTATCCATTGCTTCTCTTCCTTTCTTTGAACAGTGGAGTTACACTTGCGTTCGACAATGCAAGTACCTTGCCAGACTACAAAATTTTGAAAGATAACAAACAATGCATCCACTATGTCTATAGGCCCGTGAACTTTGCAGGTAATGGAAGAGGGAACTGTACGATGTGGTGTACCCTGATTCCAAAAGGCATTCAATGAGAGAGAATGAAGGAAAAAAGCCAAGCTATCTAAAAGTGGAATACTGTTTGTAATATCTTAAAACATCAAAATAAAATCTCATCTATTCCCCAACATGATCATTTTACAGTGAGTCAAATCCAAAGAATTTATCCTTCTATATCATTTATTTTTTAAGTTTGACATAACTGTTCTCCCAATTCTCTCATGTGAACTGTAAAATTGTTTTTTTACTCAAAAAAAAAAAAAAAATTGCTGGTTTAGACTTTCTTTTACTTGTCAGATTTCTAAATCAAACACCTGGTCTGGATGCTTCACAAGTTTAAGCATTTGTTCCAAAATAACTGCTTTCTCTGAACTGACCTATACTCCTTTCCAGCAGAGAAATTATATTTGTTTCTGACCTCAATCAGATCTCCTCAAACTGATCTATAAGCTTTCAATCTCTGGGTTTTCTAGGCTGAAATGAATCCTTGATTATTCTGATCCAAAAGCTGCCTATAATTCTCTTTAATCATTCATCCTGTCATAAACTCCACAGTATAAGTTAACACTCTTTTGTTCCCATTGCAGGGGGCTTGAAGCCACCAGCTATGCAATGTATACTAGGTTACGTCCAGGTCTGAAAAGGACTCAGACTTTTTAAACTCTTCAAAAAAGTAACCAACACCTATGTGCCACTAGTTTTAATACCATTTTCAGAATTTGGATTTCATAGAACAAGATGAAAATGCCTGCAATTATTTCATAGGCCAAGAAAATAGAATCATGGAATCCTTGCAGTGCGGAAGCCCATCGAGCCAACACCAATTGTCCGAAGAGCATCTCAGCCAGACCCACCCCCTTGCCCTATCCCTGTAACCTTGCATTTCCCATTGCTAATCCATGTAGCCTGCACATCCCTAAACACTATGGACAATTTAGCACAGCCAGTCCACCCAAACTGCGCGTCTGTGGATTGAGTGAGGAAACCAGTGCAGACACAGAATGTGCAAACTGCACATGCAGTTGTTTGAGGCTGGAAACAAATCCAGATCCCTGGTGCTGTGAGGCAGCAGTGATCTGTAGTCTCTCGCAGGAGAAACAGTCTCTGCGCATCTACTCTGTCAAACCTTCTAATTATCTTGTACATTTAAAGAAAGTAGCCTCTCATTCTTCTAAACTCCAATGAGTACTTGCCCAACCTACTCAACCTCTCCTTACAAAACAAGTTCCAGGATCAGCCAAGCGAACTGTCTGCTTCCAATGCCAGTACATCTTTCCTTAGACAAGAGACCGCAACTCATCACAATATTCCAGCTCTTGTCTGACAAGTGCCTCAGATAGTTTTAGCTAGACCTTCTATTTTTATGCACCATTCTCTTTGAGATAAAGAGCAATATCCTATTTGTCTTCTCTGTTAGCCACTGAACTTGGATGCTAGCCGTTTCTGATTCATGCATAAGGACTTCCAAAACCCAGTATGCTGTAGCTTTCTGCAGTCTTTTTTCCACTATCTAATATTCAGCTCCTCTATTCTTCCAAAGTGAATAACCTCATTTTCCTACATTATATCCCATCTGCCAAATTTTTGCTCACTCACTTGATCCGTCTATAATCCCTGTGCAGACTGTGAGTCATCTTCACCACTTGCCTTTTCATCTATGTTTGTCACCTTTTGTGGCATTAACGAACTTGGAAATATTATATTTAATTCCCTTACACAAATTATTGACAAATCATTAGCGTGGAAGATTGCCAGGAGACTGTTGTAATAGTCACATGTCAGTGTGACAATAACATGAATGAGGAAATTAGCATAAAATGAGTAGAGAACAGATGCTCATTGCTTAATAGCATTTAACTATTTCTGTCAAAAGCTGCGCTGTGTCCCACTGACCATCGTTCCTGTGCTGGCAGATGCTACTGGCTCCTGGCTCAGTAACACTTCTTCATATTAAATATTTATTTTCCTAATCTTCACATTTGGTGTACCACCAGCCGTTTACAGCTTGACCAAACTTGTCGTTCCTCCAACTTAAGTCTTGAAGACATTCCTCCACATATTTGCCATTGCTGAATATGCCTTCAGCTGCCAGAAGCCAGTGCCAAGTCAGAAATATCGGCTATGGTTTAGTTAGGCTGAGCATGCAAGCAGAAACTATACCAGAGTGTTGCATTAGCAGTAGGACTGATTTAAGAAAGGCACCTGTCAGTTTCAAATAAGTATCAAAGCTATAATCTCTGAGATGAAAATGAACCAAGGCATTTCAAACATTGTCGACTATAAATAACAGCGCAGCTCCAATTCAGTAGATTTCATTAGGTCACCTTTCTCCGTTGCTCTGCAGGCACCAGGTGAAGGAGTACAGATTAAACAAAGAGAAATTGTTCCTACTAGCAGGAGGATTAGAAAAGTGAAAACTCGGATCTATGATGCCTTGCAAAAGAATCAGAAAAGTTAAGCATTTTGTTCGTTTAACACTGCACATTGTTTACCATCTGGAATGCACTGGCTGAAAAGTATAGTGAAAGCAGATTCAACAAGAAAATTCAAAATGGGACTGAAAGAAAGAAAATGGTATGGCGGCCTCCATAGATGGAGGATTTGAGTACAGGAACAGGGATCACTTGCTGCAGTTGTACAGGGCCTTTGTGAGACCTGGAATATTGTGTGCAGTTTTGGTCGTCATGTAGAAGATGGGACTAGCAGTAGCCCATTTGACCTCAAAGCTACTCTGCCATTCACTATGATCATGTCTGATCATTGAGCTCAATGCCCTAATCCCAACACCCCTTAAATCTATTTGGATGAGGTCGGAGACTGCAAGATAGATGAGCTGAACATGACACTGTGGTATAGTAAGTTCAAGTGGAAAGAGAAACAAGGAATGTAGTAGTATTAGATAGTATAGTGTGGGGGATTGACACCATCCTCTGTAGCAAAGAGTGAAAGAATTTAGATAGGTGTGCCTGCCTGGTGCCAGGGTTCGAGACATCAACTCAGGGCTGAAAAGGAACTTGCAGTGTGAGGGGAAGGATTCAGTGTTGATGCCAAGTAAAACTAGGAAAGAGGAGTGTTGCATTGAGTATATGAAGTTTCTAGGCTCTAAATTGAAAAGCAGAACCTCAGATTATAATTTCTGAATCATGGCCTAAGCCATGTGCAAATTGGCATAGGGTACATAAAATTAAATATGAATACATGGTTTAAAGACTGGAGTGGGAGGAGTGCGTTCTGGATCGTGAATCACTGGCGTCAACATAGGGAAAGGTGGAGGCTGCAATCCTGGGATGGTCTACACGAGTGATTGGGCCACTGTTCTTGCAACTCTGTAACTAGGTGTTGCGAAGTTGGTAGTGTATTTGTGGATTAGGAGGCAGGAAGTTGGAATTTGGTGTTTGTAAACTACTTGGGGGGTGGGGGGGGAAGGTTGCATGGTCCCTTTAAAAGGTCATGTGCTTTTTCTGTGCTTAGACATTCATTTTCAACAGCAGCAGCATGGAAGTTTGCAAGTACAGAGACAACACCCGAATTGAAACATTTGTACCAAAAGGGCATACAGTTAACAGGCAAAGCAGCAGTTTTTACCAAGACAAGCTTTTGAATTGAGCCAGTCAATTTGAAACAGGCACTGAGATACCATAAAAACCTAATTAAATTTAATTAAATGACAATATAGGACCAATCCTATTGTAAGAAATGTTGCTATATCATCAAGGATGTAAAACAAGAGAGCAGTTGGACAAAATCCCAGCGCTAACTGCCATCCGTCAGAGCTAACAGTCCTCGGCTCTCAAGAGAATAGCCGGCTCTCACAGCCTCCTCTATGTTTTAGAAAAAGCACCATCTGAATAACAACAGTGCCAACAGCACAGCTAGTTAATATTCCTGATGGAAGAATCGACAGGGAAGGCACAGAACATTCCAGAAGTCATGTGACCTGCCTATAATTTCGAGACTAAATTCTATTTTTTTCATATAAGTGGGACTTGTATTTATTAGAGCAGCATACTATTAGAATCTTGCTTTATTCAGGAATAGTTAGTAGTTAGAAAGGATTTATTTGGTTTGCTAATAGTATAGTTAATTTGTTCACTGTTAGAATTAGGTAAATAAATTGTTCCTTATTGATTTTAAAGTGAGTGTCAGGGATTTACTTTATTTAACAACTAGAAGTTGCTGAAAAGCAGGTTACGTAACTTTTCATACACCTTTTTTATAGGGCGAGGTGCTCCTCTTGAGGTGTTTCGGTTTTAGTTCTCAAGGGAGGGTGGGAGCTGGTGGTGGTCAACCTCCACTTTATAACACTAGGGAAGTAGAAAGAGTTTTAAACCAACTAGTGGGAGTAAGAAATCAAATGTAGAAAGGCATGATATGTTAAAGAATAGAGAACAAGTAAGAGGGAAATCGGGTTCAGAATGGCAGCAAAGGACAGAATACACCAAGATTCAAGGTATTTTACAATGGTAACAAACAAACAAACAAACAAAATTAAAGGCCGTCTGTGCATGCACATAGCATTCATAACAGTAAAGGAATTGATAATGCACATCGAAGGAAGTAAATATGACCTGTTATGATCTGATCAATGAAGTAGTTTACTTTGGTCGAAAATGGAAAAAGTGGGTTATTACTTGAAAGAGAATCATGCTAGAAACTTGGAAGTACCCAAGATTTCAGATGTTCTAGTGCTTGAGTCAAAGCTAGTGGGTAGATATGACATGCATTCAAGAAGGCTACTGGGATGCTATACTTTATTATGAGAGGGATTGTACATAAAAGTATGGATGTCATACTTCAATCATACAGGGTTTTAGTGAGACCACATCTTGAATACTGCATGCGGTTTCAGTTTTATTTAGGGAAGAGCGTAAGCGCATTTAAGGTGATATAGAAGAGCTTTACGACATTGATACCTGGAACGAATATGGTGTTTTCAGGATATGTTGGACAGACTGGGCTTGTTTTCTTGTGGCATTTGAAAGAGTGAGGGTTGACTTGTTTGCATTATATAAGATCCTGTATGGTCTTGACTAGATGCATGGAAAGGATGTTTCCTCTTGTGGGTGAGTCCAGAATGGGGGCGTTGCTTTTAAATTACAAGTGACCCCTTTTTAGAGCAGATGAGAATTTCTTTTTCCTGAGTTGTGCAACTTTGGAATTCTCTGCTTCGGAAGGTGGTAGAGGGGCGTTATTGAATGTTAAGGCAAAGGTAGATTCTTGTTAGCCAAGAGTTATTGGAGGCAGATTGTGATGTGGAATTGGGAACACAAACGTCTACCAGATATTATTACAGGCTTAGTGGTCCACTTGTGATCCTATGTTGTATGTTTGTATGTAGGTGCCACTGAAAAGATAACATGCAACAAGGGTGAACGACGTGGACAAGTATTGCATTAGCATGGCTAGAATTAACAGACAGGATATGAAGCAGGAATAAAGGGGTCATTTTCAAGTTTGGAGGCTTTACTTTGGTGGGATGCCATCAATATCTGTGCTGGGGCTTCAGCTATTTGCAAATTATGTAGTGACTTGACAAAGACTATATTTTATATTGATTTGTTGATACAAAGCTAGATGTGGTTGTAAACTGAGGGATGTGCGCAAAGTGGCTGCAAAGAAATGTAGGAAGATGAAGTTAATGGACATCAAGGTGACAGTTGAATATAATGTGAGGCCATTCACTGGTAGTAAGAACAGGAAAGCAAAATATCTTCTACAAGATGTGAAATTTGAAAACGTTGACACTCTGATATGAGTATGCTCATACGATGAACACAGTCAGTAAGCAGGTACAGCAAAACTTTGAGAACAAAAATGGCATGTTAACCTTAAGGGGATTAGAGTACAAAGAATAAGATGCTTCATCTATTGTATGGGACTTTGAGACATCAACAGTACTGTAGTTTTAGTTTCCAGTGGAAGGAATGATATACTTGGCTTGCAGGCATTACAGTGAAGGTTAGCTAGATTTGGTACTGGGATGAGATGATTGCCCTATGATTAGAGGCTGAGTATATTGAGCTAATATCAATTTCATTAATAAAAGTGATCTCGCTGAAACATATAAGATTCTGATGGCAGTTGATAGAATAAGGACAGAGGGGCTGCTTGTGTTGACTGGGGTACCCAACACCCGTGGACACAGGATATCGGATTGATCATTTAGGATTGAGATGAGGAGAAATTCCTTCACTCAAAAGGAGCATAAGAAATATGAGCAAGGGTTGGCCAGTCAGCCCATCAAACCTGTCCTGCCATTCCATACGATCATAGCTGATCTACCTGAGGCTTCAACTCCTCTTTCATGCCAGCCCTCATAGCCTTCACTTCTCTGCTTTTAAAATTCTTGTGGATCTTTGGAATTCCCTATTCCAGAGATTTATGGATGCTGTGTTGTTGAGTATTTTAAGATGGATCTCTGATCACTCTGGCAAGTAAGGGATGTGGGGAGTTGGTAGGTAAGTGGAATTAAGGTGGAAGATCAGCGATGATCGTTAAGTGGTAGAGCAAGTATGAGGTACTGTATTGCTTAGTACTCCAATTTCATCTGTTATTTTCTGTACATTTGTCCTCAGGATGCCACATGCAACTTAACTCTTTGACCAGGTTTTTGTTATTTGTCCTAATGTCACTTCTTTTGGGTTGGTGTCAGTTTGGCCTGATTAGTTTTTGAAGTACCGTGAGAAATTTTACTCAACTTGCATGTATTTAGCATTTTTAATTTGCGTCCTTAAAATTGAACTAAGATAACATGCCAAAATAACATTTCCAACGTTTTCTCCTCTATAGAAGAACTTTGTCTAACAACTGAAACTTTGGCTTACCTCTTGCCTTCATCGGATTCAGAGTTGCTTGTGGACAGCAGTTCCTCCACTGGAGCAGAAAGTTGTTCTTCAGTGGAAATATTCAGAGAGGCAGAAGGTAAGAGAGAAGAGAACAAACCCAGCTACAAATGGCAAACTTGTTCAAACATCTTTCACAGCATAGTTTGTTTATTGTGTTTGTTTTCATCATTGTGATATTTATTCTTTAATTTATATTGCCTTTAGTCCATATTCGTGAAGATTAATAGACAGCATGTTACCTATAATAAGTTAGTTGGGTCCTGGTGTAGCAATCTATCTGACAGCTAGGATTTGTAAGCAGATATCCAGCATCCTGTAGTTGGAAGTTTTACTAATTTGTGAATGATTAATTGTAATCATAATCTAGTATTTTTGTTGGAGCGCCAGTATTCTACATGAGCTGTAAAGAATTAGTTTCATGGGAAGGGTTAAAAGGCAGGGAGTAATTGTAAATGAGTGGTAATATAATTTAGAATTCAAACCCAGATTAAAATAATGCATTCTGTACTCCTTTTTTTCAAATAGTAATTCAGATTTGCAAGTAGAGGAACTGTAGCTAGGGAAGGGTGTAGTTGCATTATATTATAAGCTTGAATTTATGAATAAAAGTGCAATAGTACTATTTGATCTTGCAAGATATTACAGATAGTGAACCTTTTTCCTTGAGACATACTGTGGTGATGTTAGTGATTTTGTCGTTTAATTACACTTGAGTGTAGTTTTATCAACCTAGCATGGAATTTCCCCTCCCTGGAGGTGGTGAGAAGGAGAAATAATTGATCTCTTGGAGAGAAACTGCCCCATCTCACCACCTGTGCGATTTATACGCTGGGCAAGAATGTTCATGAGCGATTTTCTTGACTTGCCAGTAATTTAGGCCCTGAAGTGGTCAATTAGTGGCCACTTATGGGCCTCAACATGCTCCTTCCATGATCACCTACAGTGGAGAAAGATAGCTAGTTTCAGGATGGGTTGGTGCTTCAATTGCTCCAATCTTGGGCCATTCAGAGGCATGGATGACAGGAAATGTGTGACCACTGAACGCCACATTGCAACAAGTGGCAAAATAAGACCTGCCGTATCATCACTAGATCCCCCAAGGCGTAGACCTCTACCTTATGGAATTTACCAGATCTTCGGTACCTAGGCCTGTGAAAGGAAGCAATGCTTGTCCTTGCTTGCATGTCAGTTCTTATTCTGCTGATCAGCAGCACATCTGATGTTATTTCACTGGTGGCAGGTGCATGTTTGTTACCATCTGATATCCTCACCCTACACTTAGAAAACTCAGTGGAATAATTTAGCCCTGGCTCTCTTGTAACTGACGCACTATGTTGTCACACTTTGTGTTTTCTCTAGTCTGCTTCTCATTGCCACTGCAATAGTTGACATGTAAAATTATTATTCTATTACTGATTCAAATCAATTTCTCCATCCCTTCCTCAATAATCAACCTCCTATTCTCAACAGTTAATTTCCTAATGATTTGTAACCCTCTACATTTTCCCATTTATAAAAGAGAAGGTAAGACAAAATGGTCAAGTAGACGTTCTTTTCTTAAAATGAATGAAGTAGGAAGCAGTGGGATCAACAGGGTGTTACTCGGACCGTTCTTTGGCAATGGAGAAATGGGGATGGCCATTAGAACTGGTAAATGTATTAGGTGATTGTTGTTAATGCAGAGATAGATTCTTGTTAGCCAAGAGTTGCTGGAGGTAGATGGTAATGTGGAATTGGAAACACAAACATCAGCCAGATATTATTGATTGGCACAGGCCTAATGGTCCACTTCTTCTGTTCCTATTTTGTACGTTTGTATGTAGGTGCCACTGTACAGCTAACATGCAACAAGGATGTATGACATTGACAGATGTTGCATTAGCATGGCTAGAATTAACAGACAGGAAATGAAGTGGGGATAAAGGGGGTATTTTCAAGTTTGGAGGCTGTAACTTGGTGGAATGCCATCAATATCAGTGCTGGGGCTTCAGCCATTTGGAAAATTACGTTAATGACTTGGACAAAGACTGGTTCATAGTTCATAGAATCCCTACAGTGTGGAAACAGCCCCTTCGGTCCAACACGTCCACACCGACCCACAGAGCAAGCCATCCCCCTAATCTACACATCACTGAACACTACGGGCAATTTAGCATGGCCAGTCTATCTAGCCTGCACATCTTTGGACAGTGAGAGGAATCCAGAGCACCCAGAGGAAACCCATGCAGACACGGGGAAAATGTGCAAACTCTACACAGACACTCACCAGAGGGTGCAGTGAGGCAGTAGTGCTAACCACTGAGCCACCATGCCACCTTAAGAAGCATGGTGGACTTCCATTAGTTGGAATTGAACCAGCAACCTAAGGATGATGGTTTTGTGACACACTACAGTCTGCCACTCTACCAGCTGAGCTATTGAACGAGAGCTGGTTGATAGGTGAAGCACAGGCATTTGGCATGCACTTAGTGATGTTGAACTGATGTCAGCAATAAAGTAAATGTCATGATCTGCACAATAACTTGAAAACTTATTTCATTGACTCTTGGCTGCAACTTATGCCTTTCATCTCTGTGGAGTGCATTATGGATCCTGACAGATTATGATGTTGAAGTCTTTCAAGGACAACAATATTCATCAGGATTTTGGATTGCAGATTGAGAGATTCTCTGTGCTCTCCCAGAGTAGATGAACAAACATAGTTGGTCCTGCGTTATAGATAGATGAAGTATGGTGTGAAATGCAGCAGCTGGCAGTAGGAACTCCCGGTTGAAGGGTACAAGACACTTCAGCTGTGCTCAGCAGACACTGATGCTGATCTGATTCATGAAAAGAGAACTAGTAGAGCAGCAACGAGAAATGTTTATTCTTCTGTCACCATCTTCAGAAGTACCCTTTTAACCTAAAATATAGTCCATTTTGAAAATGATTGTTGTGATGTCGTGAGCAATTGCTCCTTCAATGAGAGCATGAGCATTGTCACGGAGAATCAGATATGCCAGGCCAGAGTGCATGAAGACCTATGCTAATGACAAACTCTCTCTGGCTGCAGATTTAAAGATCAAACATAGCATTCCCTTAGTGGCTGAAAGCCACACTGACAAACAGTAAAATGTTATTGAGATCTCTGCAAGCAGGGAAGTGTAGATGAAAGGGAGAATAGAGAACAGGCAAATGAAGCTGGGGATGCTAGTCTAGGCTGTTCCATTTCATTGCAGTCCATCTGCCTCAGACAGAAGGTCTTGTGCTATCTTATGCCTTTACTTAAGTGCAAGTAGAGCTCTCAGGTTCCAGAGTAGAGCAAGCATTGGAAGGAAACTAGGACTTCATCAGACCTCACTAGGATAGCGGTGGAAATCAAACTCTGGAGTCATCCCAAAAGTCAAATATTTTATCAAAGTATGCAAAATTCCACAGTTTTACCTGACTGTCTAGACCCAAGTTAGCAGAAAAAGTTGACTGGGTTCTCGAACTTTACACATATAAATAGTAATTCTTGTTTATTTTTAGAAAAAGGTTTTAATAACAGCTAAGCTACTATGAAATGTTGATATGTAACTACCGGTTAAAATTCTAACCCCTTTTATGAAACACCTCCTTCACATATGCAGACAAACACAAAAAGATTTTTTAAAAATATTGAGGGAAAAAACTTGGAAGACAATTCAATGGTCCCTCTCCTACAGTGCACATAGATGTTCTTCTTGGCTTGCCAGCATTTGCTGCTCCTTGAGCTTTCTTTTTCACATACTTTCGCTTTCAGGAGGCACAGAGCAACAGGTTCACAACTCAGACTTTGACTTGTCAGTTAAAAACGATACAGCAACTGGTGAGAGAAAATAAACTGGCTTTTTTCAGGCTTTTGACAGTTATTATTCCCCTTCTGGAGGTCCAAAAGCATGAATTGTTCATGCCCACAAGCCTTATAGCTATTTGGGAGACAATCAGTTGTTGGCGGCCAGAAGGCCTTTTTCAACACTGGTCACCACTGCACAGACTGAACAATTGGGGATGTTGGAGACCTGAAACAAACATAAACAGAAACTTCTGGAAAAACTCACCAGATCCAGTAGCATCTGTGGAGAGAAGACAGTTAACATTTTGAGTCCAGTGATCTTTCTTCAGACAGATATCAGCTATTTGTTGCTGGCCAAATTTCACCTTGTGGACACATCCTGGTGCTAATTTCTCTGTATCTAAACTTGCCCTGTTGGTCGAACAGACAAGTGTAAACAACATTGCAATAGGGATTGATAGCTTGCTTTTAAAATATGCAGCAACTACTTCCACAAACCTTTGGTTTCTTTTCCCCTTTCAGTCCACAATCCAATTTTCTTTTTATTTTAAAATTAGAAAATAGTCCTTTACGTGCCTTTAGCTCTATTCTGGAATATATAAGTAATAGGAAGAGGAAGAATTCATAGTTGCACAAAGAAATCATTAGGTATTTGTAACACATTTGTAATAAATGTTGCTTTAATTCCTCAAATAATAATGAGGAAAAGGGCTCTCTCTTTGTCACCGTGTCACCCATCATTCTTGTCGTGCATGCACTCTTGCTTGCTCCTAGTTTATTGCTCTCGGCCCTGTTCATGCCTGCATCCCCGTCTGCTCTCTCTCATTCTGTCGAGAACATGAAACCTCTTTCTTTGCTGTATTTAACATAACTTGTGTAATGATGCTGCTTCCTGTCAAAGTTTCTTCAATGTTAAAATGCATTTTATCTAAGTAGGATATTCCAATTTTTATGTATCTCATCCCATAATTTGAACAGTGATGCTAAAACAAAAAAATTCTTTTCAACATGTATACTGAGATTGTGATACCAGTTTGGCTTCCAGTTACAATAATATTGACTCCAAGCCTTTCTGCTTTTAGGGAGGGCAAGGAAATTGTAAACTTGAATAAAGACATCAAAACACATTGTGAATGTATACATTTAATCATTAAAAACAGATCAAGTTTCTACTAGTTTTACTTTGTTTAGACCATTTTTTTGTACACTAGAGGTGATTTTACTGTGTCAGTAACTGCAAGCCATATTTTTTTGAAACAAATTTAGGAGAATTTTGCGAACTCCAAGACCAAGTTGTTCAGTTTTGAAGTGAAATTTGGTTTGCATTGTAAATATTGTCATAGTATTTAATAACAAAATCAGAAATTGCTGGAAACACTCCAGCAACCACCTGTGGAAAGAAAGCAGAGTTAATGTTTCTGGTCCAGTGACCCTTCTTCAGAACTGATTGTAGCTAGGAAAAGGTTAGTGTATATGCTAGAAGAGAGGTCAGGGAAGGAGGAAGAAGTAAATGATAGTCCCCATTAGCAGCTGTTGATTCTCCCAAGCTGACTTTTACTCATTCCTTTGTCTGCCCAACTGTTCTACTTTGTCTCTGGGCTCCATCTTTACCTGTCACTTACTCCTACCCCTCCCCCACCCCTTCTCTAACATTATATACCAACCTTTTTCTTACCTAAAATCAGTTCTGAAGAAGGGTCGCTGGACCCAAAGCGTTAACTCTGCTTTATCTCCACAGATGCTGCCAGACCTGAGTTTTTCCAGCAATTTCTGATTTCCAGCATCCACAGTTCTTTAGGTTTTTTTGCATATACTTAATAAAGTTGACAAAAGTGATTCACAGGAAGTTGTGTGGTGCTGAAAGGATGTGCCCAAAGATGTAACATTTTTAATATCCACCTCCTGTAGTGTTTAAAACAAATCTTGTCCTAATGTCCTGAGGTGAAGCAGCCAAATGATCTTTATAATTAGGGTAGTCAGATGCATTTGAGTTCAGCTTTTGAAGCTAAACATGCTGCACTTAACTTTATCTTTCCGTTAAAAATTCCCATATCTATTTTTATAATGAAAACCGTTTGAATAAATTTGTCCCATTGCAAAACTGTAAGTTCTAAAACTCTGCAGCAGCATAAAGGCATTCCACAACAACTGAAGTCTTTTTATTGAATATAAAAGTTTTAATGTTTGCTTTTGCATCAGTAACAGTGAGAACAATCTTGATGCAAGATTGAGCCTTTGTTTTCCTTTCATGACATGCAGTCAATGCTTGACAAAGTGAAAAGTTGTGCATTTTTTCTGTGACAAGTTTATTAATTTCCAACCATCAAGCTTATCGAAGCTCATGATTTTTGCTCGTGTTGATTTTCAAAATGAAAATTTTATGGTTCCTCAAGACTCTTAGCCTCTGATTTCTGGTACTAACAATGTGTTACTGTCTTTCAGAGCATGCATCTGTTGTGAATCAGGAAGATATTTATTGGTTCTATTGTAAAAATTCTACACTTCTGGACAGTAGTAAAGCAGCAAACATTGATGTGATTGGCCAACCTTCAGATCTCTCTGAAATTCTGGGTAATCAGCTCTTTTACAACTACTTCATTTCAAAATCTTAAAATCTCTCAATGTTTGTTACAGGATTCCTTCAGTATATTGCAGTGTACTAATTTTTCTTTCTGTATCTCAGAACAGACTGGAAATCTCACAAGAGAAAGAAACTTCAATGGGTAAGGTGTTGCCATTTGGATCAGCATGAATGATAATGAGACTTTGTTTGGTTTTGTTATAAGAATGTACTGTAACTAAGTAGTGATGTCTGTACCATAAACTGCAGTAACTAAATTGCCTTTTATTAAATGCTGTTTGAAATCTCTGAGGTTGTAGTAAAATAAGTAATTTTATAGGGGTAGTAGGAACTGCAGATGCTGGAGAATCCGAGACGACAAGGTGCAGGGCTGGATGAACACAGCAGGCCAAGCAGCATCATAGGAGCAGAGAGGCTGACATTTCGGGCCTAGACCCTTCATCAGAAAAGGGGGAGGGGAAGGGGGTTCTGAAATAAATAGGGAGAGAGTGGGAGGTGGATAGAGGAGCGGATAAGTAGAGAGGAAACAAACAGGTCGAAGAGGCGGGGATGGAGCCAGTAAAGGTGAGTGTAGGTGGGGAGTTAGGGAGGGGATAGGTCAGTCCAGGGAGGACGGACAGGTCAAGGGGGCAGGATGAGGTTAGTCGGTAGGAGATGGAGGTGCGGCTTGAGGTGGGAGGAGGGGATAGGTGGGAGGAAGAACAGGTTAGGGAGGCAGGGACGAGCTGGACTGGTTTTGGGATGCGGTAGGGGGAGGGGAGATTTTGAAGCTTGTGAAATCCACATTGATACCATTGGGCTGCAGCGTTCCCAAGCGGAATATGAGTTGCTGTTCCTGCAACCTTCGGGTGGCATCGTTGTGGCACTGCAGGAGGCCCAGGATGGACATGTCGTCTGAGGAATGGGAGGGGGAGTTGAAATGGTTTGCGACTGGGAGCTGTAGTTGTTTATTGCGAACTGAGCATAGGTGTTCTGCAAAGCGGTCCCCGAGCCTCCGCTTGGTTTCCCCAATGTAGAGGAAGCCACACCGGGTACAGCAGATGCAGTATACCACATTGGCAGATGTGCAGGTGAACATCTGCTTGATGTGGAAAGTCTTCTTGGGGCATGGGATGAGTGTGAGGGAGGAGGTGTAGGGGCAGGTGTAGCACTTGCTGCGGTTGCAGGGAAAAGTGCCGGGTGTGGTGGGGCTGGAGGGGAGTGTGGAGCGGACAAGGGAGTCACGGAGAGAGTGGTCCCTCCGGAATGCAGATAAGGGTGGGGAGGGAAAGATGTCTTTGGTGGTGGGGTCGGATTGCAGATGGCGGAAGTGTCGGAGGATTATGCGTTGGATCCGGAGGTTGGTGGGGTGGTATGTGAGGACGAGGGGGATTCTTTTTTGGTTCTTATTGCGTGGACGGGGTGTGAGGGATGAGTTGCGGGAGATGTGGGAGACACGGTTGAGGGCGTTCTCGACCACTGAGGGGGGGGAAGTTACGGTCCTTGAAAAACGAGGACAACTGAGATGTATGGGAGTGGAATGCCTCATCCTGGGAGCAGATGCGGCGGAGGCGAAGGAATTGGGAATAGGGGATAGCATTTTTGCAGGAAGGTGGGTGGGAGGAGGAGTATTCTAGGTAGCTGTGGGAGTCGGTGGACTTGAAATGAATATCGGTTTCTAGGTGGTTGCCCGAGATGGAGACAGAGAGTTCCAGAAAGGGGAGAGAGGTGTTAGAGATGGTCCAGGTGAACTTAAGGTTGGGGTGGAAGGTGTTAGTGAAGTGGATGAACTGTTCGAGCTCCTTGTGGGAGCACGAGGCGGCACTGATACAGTCATCAGTGTAACGGAGGAAGAGGTGGGGTTTAGGGCCAGTGTAGGTACGGAAGAGGGATTGTTCCACGTAACCTACAAAGAGGCAGGCGTAGCTTGGGCCCATGCGGGTACCCATGGCTACCCCCTTTGTCTGTAGAAAGTGGGAGGAATTGAAAGAGAAGTTGTTGAGGGTGAGGACGAGTTCGGATGAGGGTGTCAGTGGAGGGGGACTGGTTGGGCCTGTGGGACAGGAAGAAGCGGAGGGCCTTAAGGCCATCTGCATGGGGAATGCAGGTGTAGAGGGACTGGACGTCCATGGTAAAGATGAGGTGTTGGGGACTGGGGAATTGGAAGTTCTGGAGGAGGTGGAGGGCGTGGGTGGTGTCACGGACATAGGTAGGGAGTTCCTGGACCAAGGGGGAGAAAATGGAGTCCAGATAGTTGGAGATCAGTTCGGTGGGGCAGGAGCAGGCGGAGACAATGGGTCGACCAGGGCATTCAGGTTTGTGGATTTTGGGAAGGAGATAGAAGCGGGCAGTGCGAGGTTGGGGAACGATGAGGTTGGAGGCCGTGGGTGGGAGATCACCTGAGGTGATGAGGTTGTGGATGGTTTGGGAGATGATGGTTTGGTGCTCGGGGGTGGGGTCATGATCAAGGGGGCGGTAGGAGGAGGTGTCAGAGAGTTGGCGTCCGGCCTCGGCGATGTAGAGGTCAGTGTGCCATACTACAACTGCGCCTCCCTTGTCCATGGGTTTTATGGTGAGGTTGGGATTGGAGTGGAGGGCTGCATGTTCTGCAGGGGAGAGGTTGGAATTGGCGAGAGGGGTGGAGAGGTTGAGGCGATTGATGTCTCGACGGCAGTTGGAGATGAAGAGTTCGAGGGAGGGTAGGAGGCCTTGGGGTGGTGTCCAGGACGAGGGGGTGTGTTGGAAGCGGGAGAATGGGTCAGTAGAGGGAGGGTTAGGTTCACGGTTGAAGAAGTAAGCGTGGAGGCAGAGGCGGCGGAAAAACTGCTCTATGAGTGGTATTCGTTGATCTGTGGGTGGAGGGGGATAAAGGTGAGCCCTTTACTGAGGACTGACCGTTCGTCCTCTGTAAGGGGTACGTCTGGGGGGATGGTGAAGACTCGGCAGGGCTGGCTGCTGCTGTCTCCTCAGGAGTTGCTGGCTGTGGAGGCGGTGGGCGGAGTTGCGCCGGCGTCGGCGGTGGGCGGAGTTGCACCAGTGGTGGGTGGAGTTGCGTCCGCGTCGGTGATGGGCGAAGCGGCGTCGGCGGTGGGAGGAGCGGGGTAGGCGGCGGCAGTAGCGCTGAGGGTGGTCGCGACTTCAATGTCGGTGGCAACGGCAGCGATGGTGTTCGCTGTCCCAGAAGTGGGGAACCCGGCGGTGGCGGATGTGACGTCATCTGTGGGTTCCCCGATAGTGACCTCATGGCCAATGGCGGCGGACGCATTGTGGGGAAGGTCCTGGGTACGGCTGGGGATTTGGGGGGAGGAAGCTCGTTTTGGGTGGTAGGCACCAGTAAGTTTACTGTACTTACGGTTTTTAGTGTCCAATAAAGCTGAGTAGAATTGTGAGTTCAGGTTGTGGATCCTACGAAGAATAAAAAACAGGAGAGGTCCTTTGCAGGTCTGGGAGAGGGAGGCTCTGAGCTGGGGTAGGCTTGATTGTCGTGCCTGGAGATGCCGGCGCATTGCTGCAAGTGTGTGTTTAGGAGTCGCAGGGAGAAACGCTTCTGAAGGATCTCAATGCCATGAGTGTAGATATTGTCATGGTTGGGCCCAAATTGGGAAGGCTTGAATGTGGATTGTAGTCCATTGGGGATGATCTGGTTCCGTAGGCAGGTGCTAAGGAAGGTGATGTGGCTGTAGTACCTGGTTTGCTTCAGGACATGGTCGAGCAGTTTCAGGGCCGAAGAGATTACAAGAGAGTTGCAGTGGGAGAGAGATCCCCTGAGGTTTGTCCGGAGGGAGGAGGGTAACTTCTTCAGGCTAGGCATCCTTAGACGAGGCTTCGCAGTGGGGTTAAAATTGAATCAGAGATAGTAGGAACTGCAGATGCTGGAGAATCCGAGACAAGGTGCAGGGCTGGATGAACACAGCAGGCCAAGCAGATTTCACAAGCTTCAAAATCTCCCCTCCCCCTACCGCATCCCAAAACCAGTCCAGCTCGTCCCTGCCTCCCTAACCTGTTCTTCCTCCCACCTATCCCCTCCTCCCACCTCAAGCCGCACCTCCATCTCCTACCGACTAACCTCATCCCGCCCCCTTGACCTGTCCGTCCTCCCTGGACTGACCTATCCCCTCCCTAACTCCCCACCTACACTCACCTTTGCTGGCCCCATCCCCACCTCTTCGACCTGTTTGTTTCCTCTCCACCTATCCTCTCCTCTATCCATCTTCTATCCGCCTCCCACTCTCCCTATTTATTTCAGAACCCCCTTCCCCTCCCACTTTTCTGAAGAAGGGTCTAGGCCTGAAACGTCAGCCTCTCTGCTCCTATGATGCTGCTTGGCCTGCTGTGTTCATCCAGCCCTGCACCTTGTTGTCTCTAAGTAATTTTATACTTGCCCAGCCTTTTTAATAAATCTATCGGTCTACCTTGATATCTATGGCCTATGAAATTGGGAGGCTTCAGATTGATTGTGCTCAGCTCTGTTGCTATAGAATCAGGAGGTGCTAGCTGATGTTCTCTCACGTTTTTATATATAGCAAGTATGTACGTGCCTGTGCTGGAGCTGGGGTAAGCTTAAAAATAACAAAATTTGTTAGGGGTAATTACATGGCTGAAATTCCTGACTTCATCCTTAACTAGTTGTGAAAGTATATTCTATTTCAGCATATTTCAGAACTGCCTAGAATCTGTAAATCGTACACAGGTTAAAAAAATTGAGGAAAGTTATTTTTTTTCTTTTAATCCAAGAAGCTTCACGTAAAAGAGACGGAGAAAGAATCAACGCCAAAGAGAAGAATTCTGTAGTCATTGTTGGGAAAGCTTTAGAGAAATTCCTTGAAAATGAGGAAACATATCGTGAGGCAGATACATTTTAGGCAAAGACCTTGAGTGAAGTTTGAAATCTGAATTTATCAGCAACGACCTTCATTATTATCATATTTGGGATATCCGGTCATTCTTGCTTCAAGTTGTGTGTCTTGACTGGCTGCCACAGAAGTCAGTACACCAAGGCGCACTCAGCAGAAGTAGAGGTCACAAGATTGTAGCAAACCAGCCAGTACTCTAAGCATACAATTGCATTTGTCCAAAAATCCAGCTTTGTTTATAAAAACAAAAATGCAGGCACTATATTTTTGCAGTTATAGATTACTCAAGTTACTCAGTATACATGGTTGCAAATTATCATTCATTAACAAACATGTGTTAACTTTGGTCAGTTTCATTCACCCTATTTAAGCTTTTCTGGACTGCCTTCTATGCCAGCATTCCTCAGATAAAAGGCCCAAAACTGTTGACAGTATTCTAGCTATGATCTGACCCATTTCTTGTGTAGTTGTAGCAAAATCTCACTACCTTTATACTCCAAACCGTTTGAAATAATGGCCAACATTCTATTTACCTTTCCTATTACCTGTTGATCTTGCATCCTGGCTTTTTATGATTCATGGATAAGGACTTCCAAATCTCTCTCCTGTTGATTTCAGCAGTCTTTCTCTTTTTAAATAATAATTAGCTTCTCTATTTTTCTTACCAAAATGTGTAACCTCACGTTTTTCCACATTATATTCCATCTGCCAAGTTTCTGCCCACTTGCTTAACCTGTCTATATCTCTCTGCAGCTTCTGTGACGTTCTTGTCACTTGCCTTTCCAACCTTTTTTATTTGTGTCATTCACAAACTTGGCTATAATATATTTACTTTCCTCATCCACGTCATTAATAAAGCCTGAATGTGGTCCAGTTCATGGAGCATATGGAACTGAACTGTTTCAGTATTTGAGAAGTTGGGAATGGTGCTAAACACTGCTATCATCAGCAAACTTCCTGACATCAGATCTATGATGGAGGGAAGATGATGAAGCAGCTTGAAGGTTGATGGGCCAAAGGCACTAACTAGCCTGAGGAATTCATGTAACAATATACTGGGTTCAAGATGATTGACTTCTAACAATCACAGCTATCATCTTTGGTCCTAGTTATGACTCAACTAAGAGCCTTCCCCTTGAGCCCACTGTCTCCAGTTTTGCCAGGGCTTCTTGATGGCATACTCTGTCAAATGTGGTCTTGGTGACACAGTCACTCACCTAAACTTTGGATGTCAGCTGTTTTTTGTCCACGTTTGAACCAAGTGTATAATGAGGTCAAGAGATGAGTGGTTGGACTAAACTGAAACTGAATAGGTTTGAGCAGGTTTTTGCCAAGCAAGTATTGCTTGACTGCATTCTTGGTGATTTCTTCTATTGCTTCTCTTTTCTTAATTCACACATGGGATGTGGGCATCACTGGCTGGCCAGCATTTATTACCCATCCCTAGTTGCCCTTCAGAAATGGTGGTGAGCTGCTGTCCTGAACTGTTGCAGCCGATGTGCTGTACGTTGACCCACAATGCCCTTAGGGGAGGAATTCCAGGATTTTGACTCAGCAACAGTGAAGAAATGGCAATACGTTTCCAAGTTAGGATGGTGAGTGGCTTGGAGGGCAGTTTGCAGGTGGTGTTCCCGTGTGTCTGCTGCCCTTGTCCTTTGAATTGGAATGTGCTGTCTAACGATCTTTGGTGAATTTCTGCAGTACGTCCTGTAGATATTGGCAGCAGTGTGTACTGAACATTGGTTGTGGATGTGGTGCCAATCAAATGGGCTACTTTTGTCCTGGTTGGTGGTTTTGGTGCTGCAGCCATTCAGGCAAGTGGGGAGTATTCATCACACTCCTGACTTGTGCCTTATAGCTGCTGAACAGGCTTTGGGGAGTCAGGAGGTGAGTTTCTTGCTGCAGTATTCCTGGCCTCAGACCTGCTCTTGTAGCCACTGTATATGTGGCAAATCCAGTTGAGTTTTTGGTCAGTGGTGACCCCCTAGGATGTTGATTTTGGGTGATTCAGTGATGAGAATGCCATTGAATGTCAAAGTATGGTGGTTAGATAGTCTCCTGTTGGATTGCCTGGTATTTGTGTAGCATGAGTGTTCCTTGGCACTTGTCAGCCCAAGCCTGGATGTTGTCCAGATCTTGTTGCATTTGAACATGGACTGCTTCAGCATCTGACGAGATTGTGCGATCATCAGTGAACATCCCCACTTCTGATGATATGGAAGGAAAGTCTTTGAAGCAGATGAGGATGGTTGGGCCAAGGAAACTTCCCTGAGGAACTCGTGCAGAGATCTCCTGGAGCTGAGTGACTGACTTTCAACAGCCACGACCATTTTCCTGTCTGCCAGATATGACTCCAACTAGCAGGGAGTTTGCCCCCGATACCGATTTGATTTCAGTTTTGTTAGGATTCCTTGACTCCACACTCAGTTGAATGTGACCTTGATGTCAAGAGCTATCAGTCTTACCTCCCCTCCTGGAATTTGGCTTTTCTCGTCCATGTTTGGGCCAAGACTATAATGCGGTCAGGAGCTGAATGGCCCTGGTGGAACCCAAACTGAGTGTCACTGAGTGGCTTACTGCTGAGCAAGTCCTGCTTGAGAACACTGTTGATGACACCTTCTGTCACTTTACTGATGACAGAGTAGAGTGATAGGGTGGAAACTGGCCTGGTTGGATTTGTCCTGCTTTTTACATACAGAACGTACTTGGCAGTTATCCAAATGGTCGGGTAGATGCCAGTGTTGTAACTGTATTGGAACAGCTTGGCTAGGTGACTGGCAAGTCCTGGAGTACAAGTTTTCAGCACTATTCCTGGAATGTTGTCAGAATCCATTGTCTTTGCGGAGTCCAGTGCCTGCAACCATTTCTTGATATCATATGGAGTGAATTAAATTGGCTGAAGATGATGTTGTGGACCCCTGGAGGAGATTCAGCACTTCTGGCTGAAGATTGCTTTATTGGTTGAGAGTTCGCTAAGGTGATAATTAACTGAATTGAATTTGTTCTGTATCATGAGTATTGGACATATCTGTGCAATTTTCTACATTGCCAGTGTTGTAACTGTATTGAAACAACTTGGCTAGTTACATGACAAGTTCCAGAGCACAAGTCTTCAGTCCAATTGCTGAAATATCATCAGGGCCCATAACCTTTTGCAGTGTCCAGTGCTTTCAAGCATTTTTTTTTGATGTTACATGGCATAGTTCAAGACTCGTTCAATTAGGTTCAAGACTGGTATCTGTGTTAGAGACCTCTACGGGAATCCAAAATGTATTATCCATTCAGCTCCTTTGGCTGAACATGGATGCAAATATTTCAGGTAAAGATGGATAGACCATAATGGAAGGTTAGCATATGGCAAATTGAAATAGGAAGTATCTGAAGAATTCCGATTCACATTTGCAAATAGAATTAACTTCAGAAAAGCTTAGTTTTCCAGTTTCGATTTATTGAATGCAGTATGCTGGATTTGAAGATGGTTTTTATGCCTCTCGACAATAGTATAGGAAATAGTGAATGGATTTATTTACCTCTTCTGCAAGTTTGATAAAATCCCAGGTACATGAGAACAAGAGCATTGAAGAGGGAAGTGGTGGATTACAGATTGTTGAAAATAATCTTTCATGTGAAGGCTGAGGGATGGGAATTTGAGAAGAAATTTTATTATGTTTATAGATAGAAGGGAAAGATGAAGCTAGCAATAAGGGAGGTTGGATGGAATCATCAGAGAGATCTTGAGCAATTCATGGGGCTGAAGAAATGGAAGCATATTTCAGAAGCTTTAGTGTAGAAGATGTCATTATCATTGCAATCTAATTGTTGGGAAAACAGGAAGATGTGCAGTCCAGGTAGTAGAACACTTGAGATTACCAATACTTAACTTCCAAAGTTTTCCAGTTGATTTTTGGATGGCCAGTATCTTTAGTCTTGATTTTTGTTTAGATCAAAAATGTTTAGTATTTTCAATTTTTTTGTTGAAATTACATAACTTCAGGGGAAGTGTCATCTGTAGTCACACAGGACAAAAATAAACGTGCAACAATACAATTCACCAGTAACACTGCTTCTTTGCTGTATTTTAATTTTATTGTTGTCTGTCTTTTTTTCTAGATACCATGTATCAGCTGGAGCTGAGGAGCGTGGGAATTCTCAAGCTACTACTTTTACTATTGCAGGTAGAGGCTATGTTTGATGATCTAGTGCAATCGACTTGAAATGACATTTTAAGGTTGGGCTCCCATCAAGTGTCAGTTCTTTTGCAAACTTGGGAGCCTGTTGAACTTGAACATAGATCTGACCCATTATTCTGTCTGTTAAAGATTGTTTGTGCTTTTGCCCACTTCTGCCTTGCTGTGTGCTGCAGAAACGTTTACATGGTTCTCCTGGCCAGTCTCCTTCGCCCTTGTTCTACACAACTTCAGGTTTTTTTTTGTGATCTTCATTGAGACTGACTTTTTTTAAAAAGTGGTTATTGATTGTTTAATTACAAAACAAGATTTAGCATTTTAATCCTCAACTGTAACAAACTAAAATTAACAATGACTAGTTGTTGTGATGAATAGAAAACTGGTTTGGCAGACCAGAAATACAGAGTAGGGATAAATGGATCTATTTTTCTGAATGTCAGGCAGCGTCTAATAGGGTACCTCAGGGATCACTGCAAGGACCCCAGCTATTCACAATTTGTGAACGATTTCAATGAGAGAACTAAATACTACCTTGAAATTTGTAGATGACACAAAATAGGTGGAAGGAAGATGCAGAGATGCTTCAGTATGATTTGGACAAGTTGAGTGAGTGGGTAAATGCATGGCTGATGGCAGTATATTGTGGATAAGTGTGAGGTTATTCACTTTGGTTGCAAAATCAGGAAGGCAGATATATGAATTGCTATAAATTGAGAGAGGGGAATGTGCATTGACACCTGCTGTCCTTGTATAACAGTTACTGAAGGTGAGCATGCTCGTGCAGCAGGGAATAAAGAAGGCAAATGGTATGTTGGCCATCTTAACAAGATTCTAGTACAGGAGCAAGGATATCTTGCGGCAATTGTGTAGAGCCTTGGTAAGACTACCTCAAGAGTATTGTGTGCAGTTTTGGTCACCTGAGAATGGATGCTTTTGCTGTAGAGGGAGTGTAACAAAAGTCTATCAGACTGATTCCTGGGTTGGCAGGACTAATGTGTGAGGAGGGATTGATCAGTTAAGCTATATTTGTTGGATTTCAGAAGAATGGGGGATCTTTATAGGAAAAAGAACTGGACAAGTGTGAGGATGTTATGGCTTTAAGCAGTGTATTTTGTCCAGATTTTTTTATGAAGAAAGGTTGAGACAAGCGGTCTGCTCAAAGCCAATAAAGTAAACAGCTTGTGAGGCCTTGGTATTTTTTTAAAGTTGGAACAATAGAAGCAGGCTGAATGAGTGGGGTCAAGCTCCCACAGAACCAGGCCTTTTAGTTTTAGCTTTCTTCAGTTGCTGGGGTTTTGAAGCTTAATGTGGAAGCTCTTATTCCTATCTCTATTACAGCTAAAAGCTGTGGTTCTCTTCCTGCTTCTAGAATTGCATGTGAGGTATCTATTTTACTGAATTTGCCTTTGCCAAGGGTGTGTTAATGGGATGCTACCATTTTGGAACAGTTAATTAGTAGTAGTTTATTTTGTGTGTGTGTGTGTGTGTGTGTGTGTGTGTGTGTATATACGTATAATATGTATATTGTTTTGTTAAGCATTTTTATAGAGTTACAGAGTTGAGCCAATTCTTTATTTAAAGCTTAAAGTTGAGTAGTTTGACCTATCAAATTACATCTGGAATGCAATGCCTTGCACTTATCTTTAAAATATGAGAAAAATAGGGTCTAGACCCTATCTTGTGAATATATTTTGAGGCGGGGTTTGGCTGGTCCATAACACAGGGTAGATGTGGGAAGGATGTTCCTGATGGCAGGCGTGTCCAGAACCAGGGGTCACAATCTAAGGATAAGGCGTAAACCATTTTAGGACTGATTGCGAGAAGAAATTTATTCACTCAGAGAGTAAGCCTGTGCAATTAACTACCACGGAAAGCAGTTCAGGCCAAAAAAATTGTATGAGTTCTAGAAGGAATTGGCTAAGCACATAGGGTTAAAGAGATCAAAGGATATGAGTGTAAAGTAGGAACAGGCTATCGAGTTGGATGATCCATTCATGACTTCAGCTCCCTAATTCTGCAACCTATCCTACCTCAAGTCACTGTTTCTACTTGAATTGGATCATCATTAATGGCAGAGCAGGGTCAAAGGGCCATCTCCTCCTATTTTCTGTTTCTGTTTTTTAGTAGGCACCAATACAGTAAAATACTGAAAATATTCTCCAGTAACTTAACTGAAAACCCTATGCTATATGTGTATATTACACTGCACTCTCTGCAATGATGTGGTTTTGTGACTTTAGAAGTCCAAAACGCTTCCTGCTTCATATAGGAACTCTTTCCATGCTTCAAGGTGAATCTTCCCATGTCCTTCAGTTCCCTTCATTCAACACGTTGAGCTTTCTGTTTTGCATACCCTCTGCTTCTGTGTTCTTTTGATTTTTCATCTTCCTAGTACATAGATTTTGGCCTCATAAGCTCTACACGTAGTAGTCAACCCAAAATCAGTCCCTTTCTTCTACCTGGCATTACAGCACCAGTTTTGGGTGATCTCAAAACAGCTTCATTGTGCTGAGAGTCTGTGTCTGTAAGCAGCAAGAACATCACCTCGACCCTGTCCCCCCCACAACCAAATCTCATGGGCTTATCTTCAGTGCTTGTGGGTCACAGCTGTCATCGCAACTCCACTGTACCTTGAATTAAAGAGAGCTGTTTAAAACGTAACCATCTTGTGAAGTCTTGCGTTTGTAACAAAGTAATTGCAAACTCTGCATCTTCCTATCTTGTTCACCCATAATCCCTATCTTTACTAACCTATATTGCCTTCCAGTCCTTGCACTGGTCCATTCACGACTTCAGCTCCCAAATTCTGCAACCTATCCTACCTGAAGTCACTGTTTCTACTTGTTTGTGTATCCCACCACTTCCCCACTCCTCCATTCTTCTACTTGCTGTAGAATTCCCCACCTTTCCTCCCGAACTACCACTACTAACCACCTTTATTATGATCCCCATCTCCCTTAAAACCCACCTCTTTCACCAAATTTCTGCCATCCTACCTCCACCTAGCATTCATTCTTTTTTTCTTCTTGCATCATATTTAGTTTTTTTTTGTGTTTAAATGCATTCTATAAAGGCAAGTGGTTGATAAACATTTTTGAACTACATGGTAATACTGTGTAGATTCTGCAATGTTTCAGTGTATTTTAACCTGCATCATAGCAATGGGACGATCCTTTATTTTGTCTGTGTTCTTTTTAAAGTCAAAGTGCACCATAAATTTTACCAAGCTATATATAACAGCAATTTAGGATGCATACTAATTAAGTTGTATTGATAATAAAGAGGGCAAGATGAACCATATTCGGGTAAAAGGAAAAAAAGCATTTTAAATAAAATAAATCTGTTGCAGTTCTGCGGAAGGGTCGCCAGACCCGAAACATTAACTCTGATTTTTTTTTTCTTCATGAATGCTGCCGTACCTGCTGAGCTTTTCCAGCAACTTCTGTTTTTGTTCCTTAAATCTGTTACATATTATAAATGTAAAACTTGGAGTTTCAAAGTTCCATGACATTATGAGGTTTCTAGCCTAACATAAGCTCCTGCTACTATTTCTAACTACATATGGCCTCTACTGGTTTTTGCTGTTTATATAATCCACTGCATCAGCAGAAAATTCTTCTCCTTTTTGTATTGCCAGTTTTGTGCCCGAGAAGCTCTTTGGGTGTTTGTACCTCTATGAAGATACTGAAATAATAATTCCCTCAGTCACATCAGGGATTTCAAACTGTCTACAATCTAGGGGTATTACACACCTTCAACAATAAACATGATCTGCCAGATATACTGAGCAGATGCATTTAATGAGACAAACTACCAAATCCTTAAATGTGAATGCCCAGTTCAATGCTAGAAAATCCTTAAATATAGAGGGAGCAATGGTGTTTAATGCAGCCCAAATCCCCTAACAACTTACTACAACAAATCAAATTGAATTAATATGTTGTCCTTCATGTTGCCAATGGAGTTGCATGCCATTGACCTCAGAATTCAATCCATTTTACCTAAACCCCAGCAAGCTACTGTAAAATTTGGATGCATGTTTAATTGATTACTGTTCCAATGTTACAACCAGTTCTTCCTGAAAGAATTATTGCCAAATACATGACATACTTTAGAAAAGTAACTCCAAACTTAGGACATTTGTGAGCAATTTTTTGACTAAGTTTAAACTTGACGAAAGTGAAACATTCTTCTCGAAATGGTTGTCATCCTTGCACTTTAGAAAAATATATTGACAAAGTTGTAAATTGTGCTGTGATAAATTAACTGAATTTTATGCTGTTTTCAACTATAATTTTTAATTAGGTAAAACAGTCTCTAAATTACAAGCAAGCAAGGAGATCACTCTTGAGCAGAAAAAGTTAAATGCAGTTTCTCTCCGAGATGAGCAGAAGAAATCAGTAAGAGAAAACTAGCATAACATCATAAATTGCAATTTTATATGCTTTGAAATGCTACCATTAATTTCCATTTTTGGTCAGCTTTTATCGTAGGAAGGAAAATGGCGAGAAATAATTTAATTGCATAAGGTTGGCCAATGCATACATGCACATCTTAAAATTCAACATACTGTTGAGTGTAAATAAATAGATGCACAAATAATTATAGGAACTTGTAAGCCCACGTAATTATTTCTAATCAATTGGTTTGGATATGTTCTTTTTAGATAAATCAATTAATAGTTTTTTAAAAAATGGCAACAGATATTTTTTTCCTTTGCACATTAAAGTTCCAAGTGTTGATTTTGCAGTATGTCACAGTTGCTTAGAGCTTGCTGCTTTCATGAAAAATTGCTGACTCTTGTTGTCCAATCATTTCAATTTTGCGATCTGTCCATTCTTGATCTGTTTTAAAACTCCAATATTGATCCTCTGTCTTGTTTTCAATTCATGTATTTCTATGAGTGTACATTATCCCATTGAGACGTATTGATGCAGCACTCAATAGGTTTTATTGCTGAATTCCTTTTTAGAGTTTCTTCCAATATCCTTGTGAAGAAAAATATATAACTGCTTCGCCAAGAGTGTGGGATTCCACAGCTAAGGTACTTTTTGCTACTTTTCTGATCTTTATAGCTTCCCAAGCTAAAGGGCAGTATTTGCCTCTCTTTCCTAAAAGAAACATTTAAACCGTCCTATACTGAAGAACCCATCAGATTTACATAAGAAGCATCACTGAAACCAAGAAGTTTCAAGTTCCTGGCATTTCCCATTGATGGAAATTTCAAAACACGATGCTGAATTTTTATATTTTTCAATGTTTTGTCTGGCCAAGTATCTTCCACCTTGGTATTTCTCATAGATGTATTCCACTCTAATACTTCACAACTGGCACTTGGTCTTGTTTGGGTGCCCAGATAATTCAGCTGTCCAATTAGACTTTGCAACTTCTCTTTCAGTTTTGGAAGCTGCTCCATTTTTTGCTTAAGCTATACTTTGACTAATGTCAATGGAGCTAACGTTTCCAAATAAGATTGCTGATATAAAGTTACACTAGATCCATTCAGGCTGATTTCTAATCCAATTTACTTAAAAGCCTCAAAGTCTGGCTTCCAATTTTGAGTTCTGTTTTAAGCCTATTGATGATGTGGAGGTGCCAATGTTGAACTGGAGTGAACAAGGTCAAAAGTCACACGACACCGGGTTATAGTCCAACAGGTTTATTTGAAATCACAAGCTTTCGTAATGCTGCCCCTTCGTAACCTGGTGTTGTGTGACTTTTGACCAAGCCCATTTATGACAATGTTTTCAAATTCACTGTTCTTCCACAAAATGTCATCTACGTGCATCATAAAGATGTCTGAAAGCTATTCTTCTGATGTCAATAAAACATGGCAGGGTCTGCTTTTAACTGAAGACAATTCAGTTTTAATAAGAGAGATCTTGCTGAGAAATACCAAACTGTAGAGATGTCCGTTAGGCTGTATACACATTTATTTAACTCTCAGAAGGTCTCCACTGCATTTGGTTCTATTTTTGGAGGATGAACAAATATTTTTATCTAGAGCTTATCTTCATGCAGAAATGCAGCTTTAATAACAATTGATCTGCACTCCCAAGCATTTATTGTCTAAAGACAAAAAATTTTCAAAATTGCTTTTTCTACTATTGATTAATTTACCCTTGTGTCTCCAACAACCAGTTTTTCTTCAAACTCTATGCCACTAGCTTTGCTTGGGTTTCCTCGAGGGACACCTGTTTAGTGCAAATCTATATGAGTGATGTGCTGGTTGTCCCTTATCCGGCACCTGTACGACTCTATCGGTCCAGCTTTGTAAATCTTGTTGTTTGAAATGTTTTTTATTAACTTCTATTCAAGTTTGTTCATAGCCATTGGGGTATCTTGATTACATTGGTTTCTGTTCCTCATGATATTCCTGGTTTGTCTTATAGTTCATGACCTTATTAAACTATGCCCTCTATCTTTTTTTTTTCTCTGAATCTTTCCAATGGCTTGAACCTAGATTTTGCACGTGGCCTGATTGAACCATTTTCCATCTCAATTAAGGAGTTCTGAAACACCTAGAATTGTCTGGACATCTTGGGCATTTTAATCATAACTTACTTTGGAATTAGAGAGACACAATAATGACCAAAATATCTTTAACTTCTTATGAAGATTCTAAGAGATCTCTGTCCAGAATGCTAATACCTGAATAATGTAAAGGCTGCTTATTTTTTGACGCATTGTGGGCTGTACATAAAGTTATGTTTTATTGGAACAGTGAAGGAAAGGTGTAGACACATCACCACCTGTGCATATAAGGAAATTCTGACGAGAAACTCTTTTGATTGGCTTTGCAGTTGGCATCACTTGTGCGTTCCAATCTGCTAAGCACAGAAGCAAGTCTTGATTTAGTTCCTGGGCAGGTGGTTACAGCCTTGTATGTGGACAATGCACCAGAAACCTCCTGCCTGTGAAGAGAAAATATCTGTCTGTCTTCTCTCTCTCTCTCTATGCCATCCCCCCACCACCTGGGTGGAGAAGTAAAAGAGAATCTTTAGCTAACTACTTTTCCTTACCTTTCTTGTGTGAGCAGTGCTCCTTGCAAGTCCCTTGTTGAAAGGAAAAGTAAAATCACCTTCAGATGCACTGAAGAGGCAAAATCTCAACTAGTAAATGAAAGTCTGAATTCGTGTATACACAAATTTGCGTTATCAAAGAGATGGAAGGAACCATAATGAACTGAAAGAAAACTCATTGATTTCTATGGTGTAAACCAGTGCTTTCAAATCTTTACCTGCTGCTTTTTGTTGTCGTTCCACATTATCCATGGCTTGTCAGTCTGTGTCTCTATGTAAGTGGGAGTTTATAAAAGGTCTAAAGTTTAAGTTACACAGTCAAAGATTAGCAGTTCAACTTTTTTACATTTTGCCATAGGTGCGATGATGCTGTGGCTTTAAAAGGTGTGTTTTATACTGGTTTCTTTTAGAGAGAGATTGAGGGACAGGTGCCAAGCAGTCAATGAGAAGATAAGCAACTTGAGGCCTTGTTTTTTTTTAGATTAGAATAAGCTGCCTGAGTGGGGTGTAATCAAGTTCTCTCCCAAAACCAGGCATTTTTAGTTTTCAGCAGTAGTTTTTGGGATTTCAACAGGGTTGGAAGGTAGTAAATCTCTCCCTGTAGCTGCTTCTCTTTCTCTGAATTGTCTTTTGATGTTCTTTTCTCCTGGTTTGGAGAACTGCATGAGAGACCATCTTTTCTGAATTTGCCTTTTTGCCAAGGGTGTGTTTGTGGGATGTTACTATAGTGAAACAGTTAACAGAATAATAGATACAGTAACTAATTAAGTTTTCCAATAGCGTTAAGTTATTCCAAGTTCTTTCTTTTTTTTGAGGCATTTTAACAATAATGTTTGAATAAATTGTGTTTTGCTTAATGTCGAGTAGCTTGACCAATCGAGTTGCATCTGGAACATAGCACCTGACATTTACCTTTTTAAATTAATAAAACTATAAGATTTAGGCTACCATAATATATTTTGAGGCTGTATGGTCCATAACAATTACAATCAGTTGATTATAATTAAGTCATTTTAATAGAAAAAAATGGTGTGTGTTCTTTTAACCTTAAGTAAGTGAATTGCCCAATTCTGCCCAATTCTACCCAATCAAGTGGCTTAATCAAATCTTTGCATTTGTGATGATTTCAGGGAAATTGTGGGGCTTGATCTTAGTGCACTACGCCAGTGACTTGTGACAAACAATAAATGCCCAGGAGTCAGGCAGTACCCAAGTAAAAACTTATTCATAAATTACAATATAGGCAGTCCCGGGTTACAAATGAGTTCTGTTCTCAAGTCAATTTGTTTGCAAGTCAGAACACAGTGGAGGAGATTATGAAACATTTCTAAGTACGGGAAACATTTGAATATCAGATCTTTAAAATTTATACCTGTGTATGGGATCATGTTTGTAAGCATGAGCATTTGTAAGACAGATGTTCATAAATCAGGGATCCCCCTGTATTAGACTTAACAATGTAGTATTTACCACTAATTGCTTATTTCTGAGATTGTAAATAGCTCTTCTTCATCCCAGAGGTATAATCTGATCTTTGGAGTTTGTCAGATTGAGGCACTTATTGGTTTAGCAATCTTACCCAGTTTCTCTGACTCAAGGCAGATTCTGCGTAGCCCATAGGGTGTTGGGGACATCTGTCTCCATATAGTTTTCAAAATCTTGTATAACTAATGCTAAATTAATACCTTTTTATTAAAATCTGATTTTAAAAGACTTTTTCTATGTGAAGTTTCAGGTTGATACTAACATCACTTAGCAAGATGTTGGATAGGATTTTAGAATAAGAAGTGGGAAAGTGTGAGGTTATGCAATTTGGTAGGAAGAAGAGAAGCATAGACTACTTTTTAAATGGGGAAAGGTTTTGGAAATCCGAATCATAAAGGGACTTGGGAGTCCTAGTTCAAGATTATCTCTAGGTTAACGTGCAGGCTGTTTTGGCAGTTAGGAGGGCAAATGCAATGTTAGTATTCATTTCAAGAGGGGTCAAATACAAGAGCAGAGATGTATTGCTGAGGCTCTATAAGGTGCATTTGGAAAATTGTGAGCAGTTTTGGGCCTTTTATCTAAGGATGTATGTGCTGACCTTGAAGGGGGTCCAGAAGAAGTTTAAAAAAATGATCCCAGAGATGAAGGGCTTGTCATATGAGGAGTGGTCGATGACTCCGGGGCTGTACTCGGAGTTTATCAGGATCTCATTGAAACTTACAGAATAGTGAGAGGCCTAGATAGAATCAACGTGGAGAAGATGTCTCCACCAGTAGGAGAGACTATGACTAGAGGGCACAACTTCAAAATGAAGAATGCTTTGGAACTGAGATGAGAAATTTCTTTAGCCAGAGACTGCAGAAGGTTGTGGAAGCCAAGTCAATGAATTATTTAAAATGGAGACCGGTCCTTTGATTAGCAAGGGGATCAAAGGTTAAGGGGAGAAGGCTGGAGAATGAGGTTGAGAATCATGTCAGCCATAATCGAATTCTTCTCCTATGACTTATAGTCTGATGGTAGCAAATGTATCAGCAACTTCTTAATTTGAAATTGAATTGATTTTAGTCTTTAATCTCCAGTGTCCTGTACAGCCACAACCTGACCTCCACTCCCAAACTCAATAAAAACCTTCCTGTAAAGACTCCATCCCATTTTCTCACTTCCTCCGTCTCTGTCGCATATGTTCAGATGAGGCCAACTTCGACAAGGCAGCCTCTGAAATGTCCACCTTCTTCCTCAACTGAGGATTCCCCAGCACCGTTGTCAACAGGGCCCTCAACCAGGTCTGACCCATCTCTCTCACTTCCGCCCGCACCCCCTGTCTTCCCTCCCCCAACAGTGATAGGGCTCCCCTTGTCCTTAACTGCCATCCCACCGGCATCCACATCCAGATCATCAGACACCATTTCCGCCACTTCCAGTGAGATGCCACCACCAGGCACACATTCCCCTTCCCTCCCTTCTCTGCCTTCCGCAGGGACCGTTCCCTCCGGGACACCCTGGTCCACTCTTCCTTCAATCCCGACATTCCTCCAAA